ATTAGAAAACGATTACCAAAACTGGGAAAAACTCAAAAATATCATAATTAACGCAGCTACAGAATCACTTGGAGAGTGAAAAGTAACGAACACTAACATATCAAAAATGAAAACCTCATGGTTTAGAGAGGAAGTAAAAACAAAATGTGAAGAAAAGAAGAAAGCTTTTTTACAATACAGTGTTTATTATTAAACACATTTTTGTAGTCGATTCTTTTAGTGCTAAATACACCTCTCTTAGGTACAGCGTTTTCCGTTCTCGTAACAATATTGATATCATCAGTATAGGCAAGGATTTGCATTAATTCTTTATATATTGAACCTGTGGTTGTGATTTGTGACATACGTATTACTTGTTCGTCCGGTATTTGTTTTAAAAGTCTGGTATTTTTCTAATATTCGTTCTGCATATGGTAGTATACGGTGCTATCTCTTTGTCAACCATTTTCCATCCACTCCTGAATGAAGGTCTCTCCCAATGGCTTTCATCTTTCTCTATCTTGCGCCAATCTAATCCACTGTTGCTCCTTCCACTGCTCTTATGACATCTACCCTTCTTTCTTGAGGTCTTCCCATGCTTCTTTTGTCGTGTTTGGTCTCTATTCTAGAATTCTCCGTGTTCACCTGTTGTCATTATATCGGACTACCTGACCTGCTCAGCGCCATTTCATTTTTGTAATTTGCGTTGTTTCTAATGTTTATCAGATTTTTTGGTAAGGGCTACTGTCTTCAAGCCGTAGGTACAAACTGGTAGTATGCATGTGTTATACACATATTGTTATATGTGTCTGGTACGTTGCTATAACATTGTGAAAAATATTTTATACGTTGCATTTAGAAGCGTAATTTCTCTGCGGTTAGTGTGTTAGAGCATTCAAAAACATCTGCTTTCTTGTATATGGTGCAAAGTATTCCAATATTCCAATCACTGGGTAGGGATTTTTGTGTCCATATTTATTTTATGAGCTGATTTAATTCCATTATGGTACCGTGGCCACCTTTTTATATAGTCCAACTGGGAAATTATTTGTTCCGGGTGATTTGTTTCTGGCTAGGTTTTTAACTTCAAGAATCGTTTGTGGTTTATCTTCCCTCTCATCTGTTCCGCTTTAGGTACGAGTTTTTTTGGCGAATAAATACGGTAGATGAGTGTGTATTTGTTATGTTTAATCATGACAATAAAGATATAGTGACTAAGTGACAGCTATAAGTCAGCAGTCAATGTCAAGTTTTCAATTGACACGCAGTTGTTTATACCTTATTAACGCTTGGCCTATATACTCATAGAGGTCCACTAGTAAACTTAGAGGGGTCGGAGGCGCCGTATCAGAAATGAGAACTTCTCTATCTAGTCTATTCTGCGTGGAGTACTAACCATCTCATACTCATAGTCTCAGACAGATTCGGACGACTTTTTTCATTGGTTGCCAACTATTTCCATATTAAACTTATATGTGCCTTAAATTTTATTCATTAATTTTACATTCTCCTTAAAATCTTTTTCTTATACCAACTTCGCTTGATATTTTGGTTTATTTAATCATTACAAAATATAATTTATACAAATTGCAAATGTTTGTTTCTATAAATTAATCTCGTCATTTCTCAACATAATTACAAAACTTATATATTTGTTCATAAGCACAAACATGTGGGTGAATCTACTACTACATTTTCTGCATTATTTAACATATCATCATAGTTTCCCGGAAATAGTTTGGAAACTAAAATATTCCAGTAGTCAGATACTGTCATTTCTATCTATTTACACTTCTATATTTATCTAGGATAGATAACTTACTTCAGTATACACTTTGCTGTATAAATCCAGTATGTTACATTATTTTACGACATCTACAAATACACCATAATCGTATGTCATTAGCAGCGCACCTAGAATTTTCTTGTGCGGAGGGGGGTTTTGGTTTGGCCCCGAAATTTTTTTATGCTACCTCCATTTTATGTCCTTAAAAGTACAGTGATTAACAGTGTCGGAATAGTGCCCTGGGGGGTTTTAACCCCAAACCCCCCTGGGTGCGCCGCTGGATGACATGATATGAAAATGTTGAAGTTATAACATATCTCAAACAAAACAGAATTATTTATGGTTATTTTGTCTTTTCCTTTCTTTAAGTATTGGTTTTCGTGTCTGACAGTTGATAAGAGATTCTGAAATATAATTTTTGATGAATTCTGCGTAATTCTAGTAATTTTTCTATTTATATTACTTATTCATCATCAACAGCCGTTCAGAGCCCACTTCTGAACATTGGACTCCCGTAAATAATTCCATTGCATCTGATTTTGAGCACCTTGAATCGAGTTGTGCTGTATGCGCTTGATGTCGACCGACCACCTTGTTGTCCTCTATTACGATGAGCATCGTGTTTAGGTTTCCATTCTAATATTTTTTTGGTCCATCTTCCATCTCTGACTCGGGCAGCATGTCCTGCCCAGTTCCATTTCGGCGTGGTAATTCTTTTAATAGCGTCCGTAACACCAGTTTTCTTCTATCAAGTCTACAAAGCGCAACTAAGAAATAGAATTTGCAAGAGTTTGAAGCAGATGTTGCTCGTATAGTGGGGTCGACTTATCTGGAGGCATCAGACAACATATTGGAAGAAATTGCTGTATATACCTTCGTCAATAGGTAGAGAGAGAGTGAACTACAGAAAGCTTTACGATTAGCAAGGCCGAAAGTTTAAAACAGCTTCACGGAACTATCGAGTAAGAACCTCTGAAGAAGGCCTCGAACAAAACGATAAACGTCTGGAGAAAATCATACTGAAAATAGTTCGTAACACGATGAAAAATAGACACGTTGGAGTGGTGGCGACGTAGGTTACATTCGTCGTAAATTACAAGAAAATAATACAACAGAAATAAAACTAGAACAGATCAAACACTGGGCTGGAAAAGAGTATTGGATTGGATGCGTCGAGGTAAGAGACCTTCTTGGCAAGACATTAGTGCATGTCGTCCAGAAGTCATGTCCTACTGGAGCCAATAAAATTGCCTGGTACTAAAATATGATCTTGTGTATAGAATCTTTGAAAAACAATGACGGTACAGAACCTAAGCTTCAATTATCTGTACCTAAATGTAAAGTAAAATCCACAAGAGTAACAATTCCTGTAGCTGGCTGTATACCACGTATCACAAAAAAAGAGGTTAGTCTTCGTAAGTGGGTATATTTATTTAAAAAAACCCTTAAAAGGGCTACATAAAAAAAAACAAACGTTTTCGGACTAAACAGTCCATCATCAGGATTAAAATTGCTAGGTTAAAATGCCTGAACCACCAAAATACATGGGTAAAAACCCTTTAAATTAAGATTATACTACATCTTGTTGATAAAAAACGATGTTCAATATTAAATTAAATATGACTTCAGGTAACATACATAGTTGAATTGAGTTCCAGAGCCGGGGAGTAAACCTCTACGCACAGGGAACAGCTGATGTGTCCAGCCCATCTAAATCAAAGTTGTACCTTCGACGCCATAGCCCATTTTCATTTACTGCCCCAAAAATCTTTTTAACTATTTTTCTCTCAAAAATACCAAGAAGTCTTTTATCATTTATTTGAGATAAGTTCCACGTTTTAGTCCCATATATCAAAACCGGTCGTATTAAGGTCTGGTATACAGAGTGGCCCAAAAGTCTGGAAACGGCCAATTATCTCATAAATTGCTAGTTATAATTGGACAAAATTTGAGGTACACCTATTTTGGAATACGGAGATTCCATATTTGATATTTGCAATGTTGCCAGATTTTCCGTTTCTCTTATATTATTAGTAAGTTCAACCATATGTAACACTTATGATTTTATGTAGTCTGAAAGGTCTTAAATACATTAAACACAAGTCTGGCAACAATTGTTTCAATAATTTTTTTTAATACTAATTATTTTCAACTACATGAAAACGTAACAATTGATAGATTAGAACATTTTTTAACAATAGTTACGTTATTAAGTGTTCAAAATGTGCTCAATTTATGAGTTGACAGTACCCTAATCGATGGTAGACTGCGTCTTTCACATTTCTCCATGATGGTCTAGAAACAATTCGAGATTCATTGATAATTCGTTGCCTTAGAGCTGCAAGACTTACTGGTTAAGTTGTGTAAACTGAATTTTTCAAGTATCCTAATAAAAATAATCTTTATGATTGAAATCGGGTGAACGTGTAGGCCATTCAATTCTACCTTGTCTACCAATTTATCGTCCGGGAAATATCTCCTCTAAATAACGCCGAAACATTTACACCAACTATCTGACGTTAAATTTCTTTCGATAAAAAATGGCCCAATTGACTAAGTACCTACTATACCTGATCATACATTTAATTTTTGTGGTCTGGTATGGCTTTCACGCATTCAGTGTGAATTTCAGCGTGTAGTTGACTTTCTAGTAGTAAATCCGCATTGATATTGAACAACAACATCCTTTGTTAAATGTTCAAGTCTTTCAAACAATGCATTGCCGAAGATTTTTTACGCAGATGCTAACAGAGTAATGCATCTATAGTTCTTACACTCCAGTTGATCACCCTTTTTATGCAACGGTCATATTATTCCCTTTAACCATTCTTCTGGTACTAATTCACTCTGCCATATAAGTACTATTAGTTTATGGATTGCTGCAAAAAGTTGTAAATAATATATACACAATATAAATGAAATATTTTATTTTAATATTACTTCAACCCCCACATTTTATAAAAATATTTATTCTAGAACTACCTTATGAATTATGCAAAATATAAAACAATAAAGGAAGAAATTACAAATGGATTATTTTCCTTCACTTTATTGTCTAAAAACTGTCTTAAAAACTAAAATAATTACATTAGGGTATCAGAACATATGAAGAGTGTGGCGCCCTCTGGAGTACCATAATATTAACATAATATTGTCTCCGAACTTTTGTCATATAACAAAACCTTAACCTCCTTATTTTCCTTCGCAATTAATTAAAAATAACACTTGGACAAATCAAATTACATATTGTTCTTATTTGCAAATTTATATAAAATTTTGCATACTGCATGTAAAACTTCAAGTAGCTAAAATTTTCAAGTAGCTGTGAATATTGATGTAATGAATAAACATTGGGAAGATTTTCTTAATGTAGGAGTATTAAAAAAATCTGCTAATTCGTCCCATCAAATATTGGGAATCAATTTGTACTATAAATGTTAACATATACACTAGAATTGTAAACATAATTTCCAAATGCCGAAAATATAAGATGTTTCGACTTAAATCAAACCACATAAAGTTCTATTTTGTTACATGAACATTTTTGGTACACTTATTTACACCCTCATCTTCTTATTTGGGTTGTTCTGGTCGTTCCCATATTCTAAATATTTTTTGATATTTCCTGTGTCTTCAAAACCATCTTCGGGAATTTGATTTTTTTTATAAAGGTCTACAAACAACAATAACGCCATTTTCATATTATACTGACGATCTTCCAAACACCTAAAACAAAACATTAAATATAGAGGAAAAAAAGACATAATATGTTAAACATAAGAGTGACAACTTGAGCAGTGCAATGTAACATTTTTTTTATATAAATAAAATATTAATTATTTTTAATCCCTCTACCCCGGTAGCAGAGACGCCGACGGCCGTATTTGCAAATGCGGGTGGTCGTGTTTACGATTAGGAAATTTTATGGCAATCTACCGACTACCTCAAATTACGGACGAATTTACTTATTAAAAGACGACGGTTTAGTCATAGAATAATAAACAATCAGAATGCTCACTCTCAGATGCCGCCTTTGAAGTTTTTCAGCACGCACGCTATGTTTTAGAAGGAAACCAGACTCGGATTGAGAATCACATTTGGTGTAATGGGTCTTTTATCGACATATGATTTGTGAAGTTATGTAATTGTTTATATTTATGTTTAATTATTATATTTATATTTATGTTATTATATTTAACAATATTGAAATAATTGTATAGTATGTCTATGATGGCCGTAAGTCAATTAAACCGGGTTAATTTTTCTATGTACACCACATAAATTTTCATTAAACAACACTGGTTCCCTTTAAAACATGGAGGAACGTCTGCGCGAACGAGATGCGCGTACTTAATTTTCCATGGAGAGTGGGCATTTATTATTCTGTGGTTTAGGTAATCCTCGGTTAATTATGTCTGGCTTAAGGCGGGTTTCTGTTTGATGCTTTGGCAGGCAAAGCCGAGGAAGGTATTTTATGGTAGTTTGCTGTAAGAATCTAATCCAAAAGATTTTATTTTCCTCACGTTCCAAATTACTAGTACCGAATTTCCTTGAACCTTTCGATGTCGTTAGAATCTTACTTTCTATCCCACCTTTCTTGGATAGTTTGGTAAATTTTTAGAGGAACCACATTATTTGTGGCTGGGCGATCCTTGAGTGAGGACGCTTGCCTAAATTACCGTCTCTTACCGTCTCTGAATTTTTTTCTAAGTGTGTATACACTTACATATTTGAGTTTTTTTAATCTAATAACATATTAGATTAAATATTGGTATAAAGTACCTTTAATTTTCATTAACTTCAGTGCTTGATACAAGTAAAATATTATAGTAAAGTATATTAATTTCAGTGCAGTGTAGCAGTCATCGAGAATTAGTGAAAGTTATCGAAATCAATTATCTGGGCGAATCTACGTCCAACCATTTTTTTACCTGTAGTTAAGGTTAACTACTGAGTTATTCAATCAAGGAACATTTAATAATTTCATATGAACTTTCAGTCAGTTTTTAAGAACTTCTAAATTACGAACATTTAATTCTCAGTTAATCATTAAACAACAGTGCGAACAGATAATTAACTTAACCAGTGCGGGTTAGTTAAATTTTTATTTCTGTAATATTTTTGTATTCTTTGAATTTAACTTTAATTAACTTTGTGTTATTTGTTATTCATTTTTTTTATTTACTGTACCCGTTATCTCGAGATACGCCTATTGTAGCGTTTACGCTACTGACTAGTCCAATTTAAACCCCTCAAGAAATTTTTATTACCCGCCTACGATCGATTTTAAATCGACATTTTTCCCCACGCGCTGTTATCGCTTTGAAAGGAAGATCGATTTTATGCGGAAGCGAAGTTTCAGTTTTGGTCAGAACTCGTAAACGCAGACACGCCAACCGGTGAGTCTTTTTCTCACGTTCAAAGTGACGGAATTGGGGCAAATAAAATCTAGGACAAGAATAAAAAAAAATATATATAATTCATAAATAATAATAAGAAATTTTTCTAATAAAATCAATATTCATTTATGAGTTCCACATAAAAAGGAAGATTTTTTTTGGCGTGCTGCAGCTCCATGTAAGTAAATCATTCATACGTATTATCTCCTTATCATACAATCAAATTTATCATTGTATTTAGTATTTCTTTAGAGATTTATTTTTGAGTTCCGAAATAATTTAAATATAAAATTTCCTTGATTTACTTGCAAAGAACAGAAGGTCATTTTTTTTATATAGTCAAACTTAAATTCCGATCTATTTCATATCTTATCATTAAGTTTTTTGGTTCCCTTTTATCTAACTTTTTTTGGTGGAATATAAAAAGGTTCTACAAATGTGGGACAGCCTTCTGTATTCTGCGCATGTTTATTTCATGGCGCAAGCTTGCCATGCCTACGAAAGTAACTTCATAAATTTCACATGATGTTGACTTAACCTAATACCTGATGTTTTGATGTTTTGTTTTGGTGCAGTCAATCCATGCTGCTACACCTATTGAATTGTATTTATTAAATTAAATAATAATTTTAGATTCCGTCACTTCACTTGAGGATATTCTCTTCAGAATATTCCCTCAAGGTCTCAAGTAACTAAATTTCTTGAATAGTTAGCAAACCCGTGGATTTTGCTGTCACCCAGAGACCAGTGACTGGTTGTGGCTTTTGTGACCAGGATTCGTCTTTACAGCCATAAACTGATGTAGCCGTGCCAAGAGGAGTTTTTCCTATGGACTTATAGTGCTGCAAAGATAAGTTGTTTAACTATTTGACCTTTTGTATTACGTATTACTTTCTATTTACTGTTAACTTTTCATATGCATATGAGAAGGTGAACATTTAATTTTTGATAATTTAATTATAAAATATTCGGGGAGGGAAAAAGGACACTTCAGGTGTTATTAGGTTTTAATTAGGATTTCAAGAGTACTGACCAAACTCACTTTTGCTATAATATTTTTTTTAATACAATACATTGGATATGATACAATTTAATATTGGGAAAGGGAAATAAATTTAATGTTTTTTTTTTAAATATGATATAATGAGTATGGAACAACTCATTTTTTTGGATGTAATATAATATAATTGTAATAGATTTATCGAGTTGATATCTTTATAATATTGTCATTAGTATCTCATATTAGTAGAACTATTTAAAGTTAAATTACTACCTTTTTGTGTTAAGACTTTGGCTATCCTACGGACTATTCGTGGTTTATACTAATATTTCATATTTTATTTGGCCAGTGGTAGTGACTATTCGTTTGTTGAGGGGCTATTAGGTCCCATTGTATGTGTACACCATCCACTACCACTGTTATTTGGCTTTGCATTATATGTAAATTGTTTATACACATATACCTATATACATTTGTTATAAATATATTTATTGTTACTATTTTGAGTTTTATTTCAGTTCTACTAACCAGTATATAACATAGCAAAACAAGATTATTATTTAGTATTTTTGTATTTCAGAGTATTATCTCCAGATTCATTTGTTACTTCAAAATCTCAACTATCGTTGAGTTGGCGCCCTTCTTTTCTCTTCTTATTGTTCTTTTTCTATAAATCTATTCCCAGTGACCTTCTTCAGTTGTATCACGTGTGATATTACCAGGTCTCATTTCTTTCTTGTCTCATTAGCTCATTATCTCTTGTTATTGTTGTTTATATCTTTAAAGCCACAATCCAGTGCATTGAAGCTAGCCCGAACACTCACTTGAGATTTAGTGTCTCTTTGGCCATTTAAATTTGTTCCTCTGAGCTTAGCCCTATTTTTAGTATTTTTTTCATCACTTCTCTTTCAGTTCTTCTGAAATTTGGAAGTTCTACACTTCCAAAAAAACCCAATACTCCCGGAGTATTGAGTTTTTCACTATACCCAGCAAAGTGAGACTTTCTTTAATCCACTTTAGTTGAATATTTTTAAATACTTTTAAATCAGACTCTGATAATTTAATTTGTGTATGATGTCATTATATTGTATTTGTAAAGGTATTTATCAATCATAATACTGTTTATTTTTTATATGTATACCACTATATCATGATCAATCAGCTTAGAACGATGGGAGAGATTGAAATTATCAATACCAATTTCTTTCATTGTTTGGTTTCTTACAGACAGGTTATCATCCAAACTCATTTTACTTGTTCAAATACACCGCTCTATAATTAGGGTGGTATCTCAACCTTGTTGCCCTGTCGTAGTTTTATGACCTCAAGGTTGGCTGTCTTTTCACGTTGTTGACGCCGTTTGCTTCAATCTAACGCCATTTTACCGGCGGCAGTCGTGGACTTTGATTGGTAACTTCATTATACACTATATTTTTTAAATTTTAATATTAATCTCTTTAATAATGCTACCAAAGGTTAAAATCAAACCATAAATATTGCATATATCGTTGGAAGTGAACCTATGAGATTCTTAGTTCTTCATTCTCTGCTTAATGTTAAATTACAATTACATGTATATTAGACCACATGTTCTTTTGCTGTGCTAAGTTGCTAATTGTTGTTAGTTTAATTGATTGTTTATACAATATTACCGTATAATGTCCATTTACTTGAGCTTTCTCACATTTTTAATATCATTGACTGCTACATATCTTTTTAAGGTAACACTTATAACATTTTTTCCCCATGCTTGTGTGGTTTTCATATTGTACTTTTTAGATGAACTGATAATGCTTTCAGAATACGAAAGCGAAACGTCTTCAAAATAGATAAAGTAGCTATCAACTATGTCTTTTTATTTCTCCACCTTGAGACCGATATAAGAACCCACCACTCGTCTGAGTGATCCTTAATATATATTGGATTGATATATATATATATATATATATATATATATATATATATATATATATATATATATATATATATGTTCATGTTGTTCCGTCCATTAATTAATAGAGTAAAGGCATGTAAGTAATGTTTTATTTATTTACTAATTTATTACAATTCAATAAACTATTTTTATAACAATTTGTGGGTCTGACCTTGTCTGCTTAAACAGTTTATTCATTTTGAAAAACCACAGACATGTAATATTGGCATAATTACTGTAATTTAGATCATTTATCTTTGTTTATTTTTATAAGACAACACCCTAATATGGGTTTTATTATTTCAGCATTTAATTACCTTTGTATCGAGACCTGAAGATGCTTTGCATATTGTAGAAAGCGAAACCGGTCGTCTAGATAGTTAAATTAAATTGATTGTGAGTCAGTCTTATTAATTATTTCTTTTACCTATTTAAAAATGAATAGCTTCAGTATCTAAAAATATACGTAGATCTTGTATGACACAAAGTATTTACTGGACAAAATAAAAGAATATGGAAATAAATGTAATAATATTTGTGGGTCAGATTGCCGATTTGCACAATATAAAGCTCACTTACCTCCTGGACCATTTCGCATTTAAAGTAGTAATACGTCTGAATGCGTTGATCGCTTTCTGGTTGTCACTTTCCGTTCGTGGAAACTCGATGGTTCGTACAAAACTCCGGGGATGCTTGAAACTATGTATTACTTGCGAGGTAAGAGCATTATGGACATGCACCAATTCATTGGTTATGAGGCATGCGCCATCTGATTTGATCGTCAACACAAATGTCCTTCGGAAGCCGAAGAGTTGTTCTGGGTCTAATAGATTTTCGGCATTTTCTTTAAATACGCCGGAGACTGACACAACTGCACAGGTGTTCTGTAGAAAAAAATAATCTGATTTAAACCAACTTCCCGATGAGCTAGACTTGAAATTGTAAACACAGTTCAGGACTGGATGACAATGCAAAAATATATGGGAAAGTATAATATATTTGAAGAATTTTGCTGTTTTGGATTATCGTTAGATACTCCTCAACAAACAATGGTTCACTCTACTGTACAGCATTAGAAGTATGAAACTTACATCTCGATTAACGAAATTCGCAGAAAACCTTTCATTGCAGTAAAAGGCACGGTAAACTGCACTGGTGTTCTCCGTAATGTTTAACACGTTTAACAACAAGTTTATGGTCGATATGAACCTTACGTGAGATAGAGTGAGAAACACATGTTTAAAAATAGAGAGGTATATTAGGTTCACCCTTTATATTGTCGAAAATGCATTAGTGGAAATAATAAAAGAGGAGAAGTTCAACGCTGCCAAACTTATTGGTTTTAATTGTCCTGTTGTCTTTTTGTTATTTGAACAATGTTCGAAGATAATCAAATTTGGGCGAATTGATTTAAATGGCAGCTTGGTTTTTTTTATTGGGAATATGCCACAATTTTACTTTACAAAAGTGTAATTTAACATTTTGATTTCCACTTCGGAAATCGTATTATATAAAATTTAATTTAATATTATATAAAGAAGTTTATTTTAAAGTCACACTATGCACTATTCCCAATAAAAATATTAAACTACATTATGACCCGACAATAAAAAAGCTTCATACAAAATTATTTGGCGACGTCGCGTCTCGCGTCGTCAAAGTAAGGACACTTTGATTTTAACACTGTGGTAACGAGAAGAGGTGGGTCGTTGACGTTTTTTATCGTTAACGCAACTGAACCGTTTTTCGTAAACAAGGAACTAGTTAAAAAACTAGTAGAAATTATTTAACTAGTGGATTGTTTAACAATAGTTTCAAGTAAGAGAGTACATATGTTTGTGTATTTATGTGTATATGTAGTAAATCGTACTTACTTTTACATTAGACGTAATTAGTAAATCGCGAATCGTCGAAATTGACATTTAAAAACATAAGATTTTTCACTTTACTTGTTGTTAATCGCGTTCTTCTTTTATGTGTTCACATTTAGAATACAGTCCTCTCTCTCTCTATAACGATAGGCAAGGGACCGAGAATTGTCATCGTTATAAGGAGAGATCGTTATACAGAGAGAGACAAAATTCGGTACTGTAATATTAATAATACTGTACTAAATAACCTATTTTAATTTAAAAAAATTATCAAAACGAATCTAAATGACTTAACATTGTATTCCACATAGATTTATTAACGAATAATATAAGCAATACAGTATAAAAAATGACTGTGCAATTAAAACATGTGTACCTACTGTACAATAAAAAAATAAAATGCTACTGTAAAATATATTTAGCCTACATTATCAAAAAAATTTTTCACCTTGGTCTGTCTTCTTTTCCCTTTCCACAGAACTGACCTGACCTTGTCCTGAAGACGCATCGAATCTTCTACAGCACTCATATCGTCTTCCTGGTGGATGAAAAATCGATGAAGTACTTTTGCCGCATCCAATGCCTGCTGAGGGGTCGGAGCTGGTTCTGACTCTGCTTCCACTTCAGAGTCACTGTTTTCTTCTTCTTCTACACGAACTGCTTGCAGGATGTCCTCGTCAGAAAGTCCAGATGTTGTAGCTACATTTTTATCAACTTCTTCAAAATCTGTTAGCTCTTCCGGTCCGTAGGTGATAGTAAATTCAAACTGTCTGGCCCAAACATCTAATGGCAGGTCATCTTCATCATAAGCCAATCCTTGATCTTCCAGCCATCCTGCGTGTTTGAAGGAATGTTGTATTGTATTACTCGTCACCTCGTCCCAGGATTTACTAATCATTAGGATGGCGTCAAGAATGTTTAGTTTAAGATCGCCATTATTCTCAACCAATTCCATCAAAAGTCTTCTCCTGTAATGGTTTTTTAAACTCTTGATGACACTTTGGTCCATGGGCTGAAGGACACTCGTGTTTGCTGGCAGAAAACAGAGTTCGATGTTTTAAAGGTCGTGCAATACAGGATGAGCAGGACAATTGTCTACAAGCAAAAGAATTTTTTTCCCTTTAAGCTCGATATTCCACTTACTTATCGCTTCTTCAAAAATTTTCGAGGTCATCCACGCACTCCTGTTTGCTTTATATGTCACCGGTAGATTTGTTATGTTTTTAAAGCAACGCGGGTTTTTCGACTTCCCTATCACTAACAATTTTCGCTTCACCGAACCTGTCATGTTAGCGGCTACTAAAACTGTAATGCGTTCCTTAGAGAGCTTTCCACCAACGCCCTTTTCCAATTTAAATTTTAAAGTCTCATCCGCATTGAAAATGTCGTCTGACGCATATCGTGCCTTCAGTCCAGGCCACACGTTTTCTAGCCAATGATCCGTTACGTTTTTGTTAACATCGCGAGCCTCTCCGCTGATTTGGCCGTAGTTGATCTTGTGCCGCATCTTCCACTTGCTTGCAAGTTCAGTTGCAAAAAATTCAGCTATTGTCCTGACCACAGGCCCAGAAAGTGGAATATGGTTCATACGCTGCTGCTGGAACCACTGAAGCATAGCGCGATCTAAATCTTCGTGCTGAGGTTTCCGCAACTTCTTCCTGCTACCGCCCTCCATCTCCGCTTTAAACCACATTTTCTGTCCTTCCATATCGTAGCCACAGTTGACTGAGACAGCCCCGTCCGGCGAACGACATCCGATTGCTTTTCACCTTTCTCTATTGCTCGAGTTATCGATAGTTTTTCCTCGACCGAGAGCACTTTACGCTTTTTTGAAAACATGTTGACTGTTGGCACACTAAGACGCAACTCAAACTGGAAATTAAAAGTCGTCAATAGATGACAACATCTGTGTGATAACAGTTAATTACGCCGCCCGAACAATAAACGTCACTTAACCCTCTGATAAGAAAGAGTGTATGCCGCATTCCTTAAACGGAAAACAAAACAACCGCTGGATAATGACCTTTTCATTCGTGACTCAGGTAGTCTGAACTTTAAATACAATAACACATTTGTCATCAACTATTGAACGCTAAAAAAGTTATCGCTATAAAGAGAGAATGATATCGGTATAGAGAAAGAATTAATACATTGTTCTTATGACGAACCAACCAACGTTTACTATTTTCATCGTTATAGAGGAATTATCGTTATATAGGGAATCGTTATAGAGAGAGACTACTGTATTTTATGAATATAGTGTTTAAGTTGGGATATACATGGTGATGTTTTTTTTCCATCACTGTAATGGACAGTTCTAATCTACGTTCGAATTTTTTCTGGGTAATATATCATCAGACAAATACATGTCGACTTCTTTTATAGTTCTCTATAGTGTACGTTTAGATGAATCCCAATTAATTGATCAAAAATACACCATGGACTTAAGTCATCTTTATCGGCTTCTTTTTCTTGTACTGATTGCTTTTTAATAGTACAATCTTCCATTACAGTGGTGGAAAAACCATCCCCATGTATATCCTAACTTAACCACTATATTCATAAAATATTGTAATATTGAAGCCATCTGTTCTTTGTGAACACATGTTCAAAATCTGGTTTAATTTTAAATAAAAGAAGAACATGGCTAAAAACACGTAAAGTGGAAAAACTTGGAAAAAAGTGTTTTTATATGTCAATTTAGACGATTCGCGATTTAATAATAATGTGTACTGTATATGTAGGTACGATTTATTATTTGTATTGTTAAATTTATTTTTCAAGTTATAATATCCTTCATTAGTTTCTTTCACTTCAATACATATACACATGAACGATAATAGCCAATATGTTTGTTTATGTACTCGCTTATTTGAAACTACTGTTAAACAATCAAAGTTACTTGTTTATGAACAACGGGTGAGTTTCGTTAACAATAAAAACGTACATGACTCACCTCTAAAATACATATCATACAGTTCAACCTGTTTACCATTGAAAAGGATAAATGAATGGCGATGTTGCCAAAAATTATCTTGTTTTATTGGAAATTAGGTTACAATTTCGTCAAATAATAATGCGAATCTGTAAATTTCTCATGGCTTTAAGAAATTTTGTACCAGTATTTGTTTCAATTTGTTTTTAATATCATCATTCAGTTTTGAATGGCAATATAACCGCGCCACTAATCACCAATTTTTTTCAATCAATTCAATGTTTTAATTAAAATATCTAATAAATCAACTTGCTGGATCGGAAATAATGGTCTCACTAATGGGTGTCTATTAGAAATGTGGAAGGGAGACCAAGGGGAAATATGAGTGTTGTCTTTGTCTATTCGCTGAAAATATGATTTTATATCTGTGTTAGATATCCTGTTAAATTCTACAATACCGACCATAAACTTTTACCTACACTGTCACGATCGAGACCAGCTGCGGCAAATTATATTTATGCGCATTATTGATTGGAAATCTATTTAGCGTGTTCTAAACTCCAACCAATTATATATCCGTAAGTAGAATTCGTTTTAATATGCAAATATCTGTGAACGATACATAATTGTCTAAGTTCTATGTATAATAATCACAGACTTACGTTTTTTTATCACTTCCGGCTTAATGCGTTAGAGATAATTCGATCAACTATGACGCACTGAAAGAAGGGTTTCGGACGGACTGTACTTTACCTCATGTATTTATTTTCAAATGCTACATGTGCAAACAATTCATCATTTGAAATCGGGATTACTTTGTATAAGATAGCTCGAAAGTTTTTTGATTCAAGTCATTATCATCGTAAGGTTTTAGATGATGACAGAAAAATCTCTGCCAACAAAGAGGAAGAATATAAATCGACTCAATTATCACTAATACGAACGTTATACATAGCTTGGCAATATTCTTCTACTTACTGTATAATGCATTACTTCTACGCTGAAGGACGGACGATAGTGTTCGCTTTGAGGCAGGTTTTTAAGTATATTTATAATCTGTTGAGGTCCCCTAATTAAATTGTTGTGACACTGAGTGAAGTTCGCCATTTTTTGTATGTTTCTAGATAAAGATAAGTATCTAGGCATTCTGAAACGAAAAAATACAATAGATTATACATACTCTCATAGACATAGTCCAGCCGTGAAAGATTTGAGCCCTAAAAATCATACAAACAAGCTGAATTTTGCCAAGAATATCACTTTTGAGACCTTAAAAATATGCAAAAAAGTTTACCACTGTTACTCCCGGGTTTACGCAATAATCAAAGTTATGCATTTGAAAAATAAGGAGTACCATATGTCATAATAATTGTAATCTTTATAAACACTTTAAAAATTTGTTTAGTAATGTATTTCTTAAATCCACACAATCATTGAAAAATTATTCATGCTATTTAAAAAATACCTTTCTGTTAACGACACTGTTATCGACAAAGTAGCTCAAATTCAAACTTGTCATCATATTAGACTTCTGTTTATACTTAAAAATTAATTGATGGTCGTGGGTTGTATTGGTGTTATTTAATAATTTAGCAAAATATATAATCAGCAAAAATCTTTTAGCAAAATTTTAAACATGCAAACGGTTTTTGCAATCACAATCAATGTAGTGTTTATGCTTGTTTAGCATTGGCTGTTAAATAATTTGTGTTGGATTGTTTCGTCTGTTGTATAACCCTCGTCCTTTTTATCTTGTAGGGTGTAGTAGTTGTATAGAAGTACCTATTTTTCTATACTAGTGTAGTGAAGCGGTATTTTAAAGTAAAATGAGTAATTTGGAAGAAAATAAAATATAGTCGAAACGTAGTGTTATCTCCAGAAGAACGGCGTTTAGTTCTGAAAGTCGAAAGTTATTTCAATTTGGAAAAAAAATAATATGAGTCCATCGACATCTGATTTGGCAGTTCAGAAACGCACATGCGAATTCTTGTGGTATCTCAGAGAGTACATTCCGAAGACTTAATAACATGAGTGAGAATGAAATAAATAAAGTAAGCAAGAGAAATCATCGACATCTAAAAACTTTAGTTCACCAGTCAATTAAACTTGCAATTAAAAATATTATATATAATATGTATAAAGCCTAAGAACATGAACAATTAGTGCTGTGTTACAAAAAATAAAAGACAAGGAACTGTGTGATATTAGTTTAACAAGTTTGTGGAGAGTGCTGAAACATTTAAGTTTTCGATATAAAAAGAAAGATAATAAACAAGTATTGTGTGAACTCTCTAATGTTGTTTAAAAACGGTGGCATTTTGTAAGAAAATACATGAACAGTAAAACGTCTGATAGTCCGAGGCAAGTTGTATTTTTAGATGAAACTTGGATTTTCGCTAAAGAAAATATGTCAAAATGATCCTGGCAACATGGCACCACGAAATGTTATTCTTCTTGTCGTTTCGGTAATGGTAAACGCTAAATTATACTTCATGCTGGAAATGACGAGTATTTTATTCCTGACGCTAGTTTAATTTTTTCGTCCACAAAGAATACAGGTGATTACCATGGAAATATGGATGCAAATATTTTTGAAGAAGGGTTTGAAGAAAATTTGTTAAAAAAATAGGAGCGAACATCTTGGATAATGGTCGTACCACTCAAGAGTAGAGAAGCCACTATAATGCAATTGAGTTAGTTTAGGGTATAGCCAAAAATGTTTATGATAAACATGCATCCAAAACAACAGATGACGCTAGCGTTCTTAGTTTATGGAAAGAATCGCTAGAACAAATAAAGGCAGAACAATGGCAAAATTGTATTAGACATACGGAAGACATAATCGTTCAGTCTTTTCAAACCGAGCGAGTTATAGATGAGGTCCGGCCTCTAATTATTCGGATAGACAATTCAGATAGTGAAGACTTTTATAGTGAAATATCAGGCAGTAAACAGGACAAATCGTTTGCTAAAAAGAAGTAACAAAAAAGTGTTTCGGGAATTCAATTCGGGCTTTGTGGTGTGTTTTAGTTAAACGATAAAGTACCTTCGGTCTAATTACTGGATTGCATACTCTCAATAGCTTTGGTATTAATTACTGGACTACACGTGTTTAAACCTTTTGTTTTGCTGAAAGAAAACTCGAAAGTGATTTAGTGCCAATTTGTTTCAAGGTTATATTTAATGCAGTGTCACAGAATAATAAACAAACAGAATGCCCACTCTCCACGGAAAATTAAGTACGCGCATCTCCTTCGCGCAGACGTTCCGCCATGTTTTACGAGGATTTTAAAGGGAACCAGTGTTGTTTATGTGGTGTGCATGAAAAAAAAAACAGGTTTATTTGACTTACGGCAATCATAGACATACTATACAATTATATTAACAGATTTAAATATAATAACATAAATATAATATAATTAAACATAAATGTAAACAATTGCATAACCTCACAAATCATATGTTTGTGTCCTTCTAAAACATGGCGCGCGTGCTGAAAAACTTCAAAGGCGGCATCTGAGAGTGGCCCTTCTGATTGTTTATTATTCTGTGGCAGTGTCTGCAGAAAGTAAAGTCTTGGATGTCTTTTTTTAAAATTTGGACATACCAGCAAGTTGATAAGTATTTTCCAATTTTACTGCATGTAAAACCATTCGTATAATTTTCACTCTACGCAAAATAGAGACTTATAGAAACCTTGATGAACATTTGATGTGGACAAATAATTTCAAGTATTCGAAATATTCCGTCCGACTTCTTCCGACTTCTACTCTACGGCCTGTATATACATATTATATTCATTTTATTTGCCTTTGTTTGGAAAAGTGTCAAGTGATTTAAATATTTTATTTTTATTATTCCGAATATGACCTTATTTAGTTTTAAATCTTATTTAATTATAATATATTAGCTAATTGTAATACGGCTTTAGTTTATCTTTTAAAATCAGCCAACATTGAAACTGTTTATGTAAAATTGCAAACACCAAATCAAATAATCCTTTTTGTCTGTGTATATATACCACCATCATCTCCATTAAGCGTTTATGATAACTTTAATATGGCAACTGAAGATATTATTCAAAATAATGACTTTTCAATGTCCTATATAGTGGGTGATTTTAATTTACCAAACATAGTTTGGGAGAATGAAGATCTAGGATCAAGACCAGTTGGTAATATTACAGAATCTGTTGAGTGTCTGTCAAATTTTATTGCTTATTTTAACTTATTTCAAAATAATACAATATCGAATGTTTTAGGAGGTTATTTGGATTTAATATTGTCAAATAATCTTGTAAATGTCAAATGTGTTGATTTTCCTTTGTTAAACTGTGATAAGTACCATCCACCACTTTCTTTCTGGATTGATTGTGATAAAACTGAGTTCCTTGAATATGATTATTATTATTACGATTTTAATAGGGCTAATTATATTTTAATAAACTAATTTTTAGGTAATGTAAACTGGGACAACTTACTCGACAATATTTCAGATGTTAATAAAGCAATATCCTGTTTTTATGATATTTTGTACTGTTGCATAGATTTATATGTACCAAGGCGAAAATGTAAAAACCCAAAATTTCCAAAATCATATTCAACTGAACTGAAAAATGCTATTCTGAGAAAAAAAGTAGCTCATAAAAAATTCAAACATACTAATACTTTTTCTGACTATAAACTATTCTCAGACATTCGTAGTGAATGTAAAGTCTTAGCTGAGCAATGTAAAAGTCAAACCATAAAAACTTTGGAACAAAATATGACTAATTCCAAAGAATTCTGGAGTTATGTACACAGTAAAAATAAGCATTATGACTTACCAAACAAAATAACCTATGAAAACAATGAGTCAAACTCATTGTAATTTTTTTAAACAGCATTTCTCTAAGTCATATGTAGATAACAATAACTGTGATATTCCAAGCTTTGAATATAATAAAACAGTTAGTTTAAGCAGCTGTGATATTAGTCTAATAGATGTTTTCAATTTAGAAAAATTAAATCTAAAACTTAGTAGTGGCCCTGATGAAATTTCACCTTATTTTGTACATAAATGTCGTTTTGTTCTGTCTCCTGTATTACTAAAAATTTTTCGTTTTTCATTAAGTACTGGCACTTTCCCAGAAGAGTGGAAAAAAAGTTATATTTCTCCTATTTTTAATAATGGCAGTAAAATATGTATAGAAAATTACAGACCCATTTCCAAAATTTCTATTTTTGCAAAGATGTTGAGTCAATTATTGCTTCAAAAATATTTTTTCCAATAAAAAGTTTATTTATTCCTGAACAACACGGCTTTATGCCGGGTAGGTCTACGACCACCAATCTAGTGATCCTAGAAGAATTCATTTTGGATGCCTTTAAAATTGGAATGGAAGATTCTTATAAAAAAAAACTAGAGGTACTAGGAATCCATGGATCCCTGCTTGAGTGGTTGGAGAGCTACCTGACAGACAGGCTTTAGGTTGTCAAAGTCAAGAACTGTCTTTCTGAAGAGATTTTGGTTAGGTCTGGCATCCCACAAGGTAGTCATTTATCGACTATTCTTTTTATTTGTTTCATAAATGACATTTTAGAAATCTTTGAAAATTGTGTTATTTTGTTGTATTCTGATGATTTGAAAATTTTTAAAATTATTAAGGATGTTAGAGACTGTGTAAAAATGCAAAAAGATGTAAATAATTTCTCAAAATGGTGTACAAAGAATGACCTTTCGCTTAATATCGATAAATGTAAAATAATGCGCTTTTTTAGAAACTCACAACCTATCTGTTTTAATTACTCTATAAATAATATATTTCTGGAACCAACAAACACTTTCAAAGATTTAGGTGTATTTTTTGATCCCACTTTATGTTTCAAAAATCACTATAATTTTTTTTTAATAAAGCTTTTAAATTACTTGGATTTTTGAAACGAACCTTGTTTCGAGAATTCAATAACCTAGATTGTTTTAAAAGTGTGTATTGTTCTATGGTTAGATCAGTTCTAGAATATTCCAGCACTATTTGGTCTCCTTTATATAAATGTCATATTGAAAGTATTGAGAAAGTTCAGAAAAAATTTTTGCGCTTTGTAGGCTATAAATTAGGAATTTCTTCAGAAGATATAGTGTATTGTGACATTTTAAAATTACTTAATATACCAACATTAGAAAATCGTCGTTTAATGCTAAATTTGGTTTTTCTTTTCAAGATTAAACGGAATGATAGATTCGCCTCAAATTTTGCAGAGAATAGGTCTTAGGGTTCCTCAAAGGTGCACAAGATCCAAGGACGTTTTTCACTTAGAATTCCAACAAACTATTGTCTAAATAGACCTATAAGACGAATGTGTCAATCTGGAAATGGTTTAGATGTAGACTTTTTTTCTAGCTCTCTGAATAGTTTTCGAAAAAAGCTGAAAAAATCTTTTTAAAATACAATGTAGGCTGTCACTGTAAACTGTCATTTAGGTATTTATTCTATTTATTTGTCTTGTGTAAATTGTATGTAATTATTATTGAATTCTAAAACTGTTAATATGATATGATTTATTTAATGATTGTAATTGGTATACTAATTGGTAATAACCGTAAATAAATTATTTATTTATTTATTTAAATTCTCGAACTCAAATTGGCTGATTCATTATTGTCAAGTTCTGAGAATTCACTTGTCTGAAAAAACAACATGTTTTTGGGAAACATATATCAACCCAAACACTTCAGACTCCTTAAGGAAACGTACCCATCTTTTGTGTAGCAGGTAAAAATGCCATTTTAAGCTTAATTTACTGCTATTCAAACTAAAAACTAGAGGGTTCTGCTAAAAACAGAACCCTCTAGTCGATTTGGGTACATACGTGCTCCCTTTCATATGATCGAACACTCTTCAAAAAACTCTCGTGGATGGAAGCAAGCAGATCAACCCCGCAGTGCATCTCATTTTTACCCGATCCGGGCCCAACCATAGACAAAAGGTAAGTGAATCTCATATAGAGTTGACAATAAGTTAAATCTGCCAATTGTTATTTTAATTACATTTTATTTTACATATATTTGCTATTTTCGCTAATTTTATGTACAAACTAATATTGCATTTTTCGTTATAATTATTTATCCAATACAATTTAACCAGCGACCTCTCAAGTTTAATCCTAAACAGCCTTTAATACGGTAAAATCCAATATTATTACTGAACATAAAATACAGGAAATTAAATATTTTTACTTTTCAAGCGATCGGAATTATATATTAACGCCCCACTGTTTGAGGCCCACTGATCATATCTTAATTGCATATCGGCCGTCGTAGTGTAAAAGGACTTTATTACAGAAATTTAGATAAAGCTAAAGAGTATTACCTGGTACTTCTCGACGAGGCCTGGTCCGTAATGTAGGAAGCGGTAAGACTAAACAATGCATCTTTGTGGTACACCAATTTCAATACGTTGCGATCCTGTAGATCGTAAAGGTGAAAATAATACTCAATGAACTGATTAACAAGATCTACCGCTCCCAGATCGCACATATAATGTCGTCTACTGATAGGAAGACCGTCTTCTCTCAGAGGAAGTCCATCCTAAAAAACAAATACTATCTAAATTAAGTCAAAACTCACCTTATTAATATGATTGATTTAAACACAAAAGTTACTTAATATAGCTAAACAGATCGATAATATAAACATTTGTAGTCTGTTTATAACACAAATTGCTATTTTGTTTGATCTTGATTCTGCTTTTATATTTGCGAATCAAATAAATATGAACATTTCCACTTAGGTTGGTTGGAAAGTGATGCGATGAAGATAATGATTTTTGAGGATGAGATCCTCTTCGATGAATCTTGTGCGAGAGTAGTTGATTTAATTGTTGAAGTCATAACGAATTTGTTATCAAAAATTCGTTAGAGTAGCGGTAACATCGGGAATTCAGATAGTGTAAAGTGTGGTAGTCGGCGAAGCAGATTGAGCTCTGAACGGGAAAGACCTTTTGAAAGAAAAAAAGCGTGTTTGGGGGAACTGAAGTCTACGTTTTAAGTGAAAATTAAGCGGCCGAGTTTTGAAGAATACATATTGTTATCATCAGCATAACCTGAAGTCCAATTCGATGTTTGACCTCGCCAAGATTTGCCAGATCAATTGAGGACAATATAAGTTAAGGATTATAAGTGACAAAAAGTTAATTTTGAGTAAACTCCGTTCAAAGTAGAGCCTTCATTGTAATTGCCATGATTTTTTAATGCTAGTTTTTCTTCTCCGGTTTAGTAACTGTAGGCATTATTATTATTTGTAACTAAAAATCGTTTTGTTTTATTGATATTATCCATTTTGGAGCTATTTTTAGGTTGCTATGTATCACTTGTACCCCTTTTACTTCTAAGAAATGTAACAAAAAGGTAAAAAATGTATATTTGCAAATGTAATAAGTAAAAAGATCGTAAAGTTGTACAAATTTATTGTTCACCATAACACTAATACATAATTGATATAGATGAATAGATTCATCAACATCAGTGTCGTGTTGGTGATTCAAATCGTCATTCTCGACTTCTGCTTCTTCTGAGCTTGCTAGTTCTCCAACTTATTGACCATCGTGTCGCAGATTTATGAAAAACTGATGGTAAATTGGAGGTACGTAGTGAAGTAACTGTTAAAGATTTGAATATTTAACTTGCTTAATGCTAGGTCTTTTGTCAATCGATACTGGCAAGAGATTTGGCAGAACGGCAGAGTTTTTACCAGCTCGCTTGGGTTTCATAGATAACTCACTAAACTCTTCTATCCTACTTCCAGCTATTTTCTTGTAAAACAAGGTTAAATGTTTGTTATGTTGAAAATGCAACCATTGCATACTCTGTATTCCACTTACGCTCTTCTTGAAGCATGGTGTTTGAAAGTCTAAAAAATCGTCATTTTCCATCTGTCCTGTAAACAACTTTCTACTTGTAGAAGTTACCAGTTCTATCCAATGTTGAGGTATATACAGATCCTTTTGGGTTCTTTTCTTATATATATATATATATATATATATATATATATATATATATATATATATATATATATATATATATAATGATTGTTTATTTTTACTTTGATTTTAATTTATTGAGCCAATCAAAATAATGTAACTTAATTGTTATCAAATGTAAAATAAAACTCCTTATATTACCTGTGTTCGATGGATTCAAAGAATTTCTAGTTGTCCTTTATCGGGATAGAGAAAAAGGATAATAATAAAAGAAAATATTATATTAAAAAAAATTACGTTTCTTTATTTTATATGAACGAATAAAACAATTATCAAATTCTGCCGTTATTTGATCAATCAGCATACAAGAAAATAAATGAAATTTTTATAATAATAAGATTTTAAATCTACATACATTTATATTAAGTTAAAACAAATTTTACTTAAACTTTCCTTTACTTGAAACAAGAAAAAAAAACAAAAACTTTAAACTTTTGATTAGTCAAACAAAACTCAATTGTCAAATTTGAATGATGTCAACGATGAATAACCATGATGTCAACATAGATCCTTCACAAATACCAATTTCAATTGTCCAAACACTTACAGCTTTTTTCCTTATTGAATTGTATGTTGGAACATACCCAGAAAAGTCCAGTCTCCTCAACGATGTGATCTCTCCTTTTTGGCACCTCGGCTCCTTCCTAACGTCTCTGCAAACCTCCTGCACTACCCAAACAACACCTGATTCACTTCTTCAAAAAACTCAGCTACTTATTTATGACACAAGAACCTCCTTTTGTCAACTTGATGCCGTAAAAATTACTTTCATATATAATTCACAAAATGCCCACGGTAGATACACGGACCTCTTTTAATCCTTGTTATCTCCCTCTACAACACTATTCACTTCTTTTCACAATGCCGGTATCCAAATTCATGAACCACACCCTATCTTGAGACAAACGACTGTTTCCTTCGATGGCCAAATTATAACTAACTTTTCCGGTCCTCCTGGGGGGAGGAGGAATCTGGCAGTACAAATAAACATTTAAATTATTCTTATTTGACCCAAATAAATTTTCTTCAATTTAAAATTTTATCATCAACAAATATGACGTATACTCCATTCCACGAATATACGACTGTTTTAAATTCGGTTTAAGGTCTCTATTTGAATGGTCCAATGTGCTGAATTGTACAATAGTAAATTCTCCCTATTTTTAAAATACTGTTATGACTTAAAATTTAAATATGAATATAGAGTTGATAGTTTATAGAATAGTTATAATTTAGATTTTGAAGTATATAATTACTATCATTGATTTTAGTATTGTAAACAAGTTGTTTTTTGAATTAGGTGAGTTACGAAGTGTAACAATACTTAGGTGGTTAAATAGTGTAATTTATTTAGTCGAATATTCAATTAGTATTAAGAAAACAAAAAAACTTACTTATTCTCTTATTCTCCTAATCTCCTAAAACTATCATCAACCATCAGATTCACAGAACTTCACCATAGGAAAGTACATTAAATACAAAGTTGTCTACATCTAAAATGCGTCTCGGCGTTTTTGGCTTCAATAAACAAATACACTACACTAAACTCTCTCTTAACGGCACCTTTCTTCATCGGACACCTCTATACGGACAGTTTTTAAAACTAAAATCAGTCGGCGATATATGAAACTGTATATAAATGTTCGTTACTTTTTAATATCTGTAACGACTCGGTAATTCAACTATCAATAGCCGGTAAGTTATACCCTTTACTTTCGGAACTTTTAAGAGTACATCCACTCAAATCAAACAAATATTCAAAACTAACAAAGTGAAATTATAGATCCTTTTTCTGGTTTCCAAACCATCGTTCTGCCAATTTCTTTTCATTTATATTAAAAGTATATTTCTTTTTATTACAGTTGTTGTACCTAATATAGTAATAAAAAGTGTGATATCAAAGGAACCCGGCACGCCTCTTTGGTGTTTACATTTCACGGAAACCCAACCCAAATGTCTTATGAACACATTTTGGCTTCATAGAACTCATTGTATTTATCTGTAGGACCGTTTGCGTAAAAATTTTTGTTATTTTCGGATTAAATTTCACAATAAATTTTGCGTCTATCTGAACAGATATTAACTGAAATAATTTTAGTGTAAGTGTCAAACTAACAGTAAATCCATTTTATTGGAATACTGTTTAGACCAATTTACTTTCATACTTCTACTTGCACAGTAAAATATTCGTTGTCGTAATAATCCAAAATAGTCGTATATTCGTGGAATAACCTATATATGCCTATATATGGAATAATCTATATATGCCTATATATGATACCTGTTGGTTAAACTGTGAATAATGTGTGACATGAGAGATCATACAGGGTGACTCATAAAATATTAGAACTATTTCATCTGCAGATTCTATAACGAAGAATATTAATTTTGTTTTATATTAAGTATAAAAACACTCAACTTAGTATAGATGTAAATATAACGAAACTTACCAAATGCGTAAGATGATTAAGATTTTTCGTGACATTGGCATAATATACCTCCGGTCCATATTTGCCACATAAAGGATTGCCGTCCAGATATAAAAATCTTAGATTTAGATCTTTTAAATGCTGTAGAGAATCAATATCGTCGATCTAAAAGAAAATATGTTCATTCATCGAAACATTCGAATAAAAAAAGTATGGGAGTGCTACAAAAAGATCCTAGTTTTCATGCTTCCTTCATACCCTATTCTCCGGTCATTATTTTATGCACTCGAGAATCTGTCCCATTGTTGAATTTCTTCCAGAATGTCTTACTTATATAATCAACTGTTATTTAGTATAATTTCAAACAAAATCCACAATAGACTCAGTGACGGATCCAGAAATTTTTGTCGGGGGGGATCATGGGTTTGAGGGTGATTTTGATATAGGATTTCAATTTTCTCTTATTTTAAGCGATATATTAAACCAATGAGAAGTTATTAAAACCCAAATACACTACGGGTCTAAAGAAGGATACAACATTAAGGGATCTTAAATTAAAAAAAAAATAATCCCACATACTCTATGACAGTAAAATCAAGTGTACAAAATTATTAAGCCAAAGGAAAATATAAATACTGAAAAATCAAGGACATCAATTTAAACTAGGTATTTAAAGACAATTAATTTAAGATCCGACACAACCGTCTTATACAGTTACTTAAAGATAAACACATTGACAAAAAAGACTTAAGAATAATAACTCATCTCTACTTTAACCAAACAGCAAAAGTCAGAATCGGCAAAGAACTTTCGGAGGAAGTAGAGATAAAAAAAAGCGTAAGGCAAGGTTGCATACCCTCCCCCTTATTGTTCAATCTATATTCGGAAGAAATAATTAAAAAATCACTTGAAAATGTAACAATTGGAATATTAATCAGCCTATTTTTAAATAATTTTAAACTGTTTGTCCTTGTTTAGTGTAGTGTTATATACAATTTTATGTTTATGGCATTCTGTGATTGCCCATCGAATCATTTCACCCACGATTTCCCATTACAGACGGGAGCATGCTCCAAATGTGCGTTACCTTCCAGGTGATGTTAATGTAGCACTTATGCACAGTGAATTCATCAACAAATTTCCCGAGTTTAAAGGGAAAGTATCATATGATTTATACAGGCGAATCGTTAAAGAATAACATATATCATTCGCATAACTATAGTTTATTTTTATGAACGAGAGAGTAATTAGCATAATTTTAACTGGTATCTCCGACCACTCCATGGGCGTGCTCAAGATTAATTGAAAAATTACTTTGAATAATTGTAAAAAATAAATGAATTATTTCAGTGTTATAAAGTGTTATGTGTATGTAAACAAAAGTGACCTCTTTTATCACACACTATATTAGAACTGACTGGCCTACATTAAAAAGGGTTTTAAAAAATTCACATTTTTTTTAATTTTTAAAAATTACAAAAGAGAAAAAGTTTTTAAAACCGTCTAAGGTATGTTAAATAGATGAATAAAAATATTAATATAAAACTTACAGCTACTAGTTACAAATCCAAATCAGATTCAGAAGATGAACTTTCAGAACCAAGATTTATAATAACTGGCTCGATCATTTTATCAGTAATATTGTCCAGCTTCCACATTTTTTCCTCTTCTTTAATAGTGTGATTTACTGCCTTTTCCCAGTTTTCAGGTCTTACATTATTTACGGCCTCCAAAAACAACTGTTTAACATCATGAATTTTAAAAGTGGTATTTTTTCTTGAAACTTCACTCTTTATCTGTGCCCATACCAGTTCAATCGGGTTTAATTCACAATGATATGGTGGGGATCTAAGTACTGTCTTTCCACGATTTTTGGCAATTTCATCAATTTCGTATTTTTTAAATTTTTCTTTATGAAGGGTACACAACGAATAAAGTTCCTTTCTTATAGATCCGGGATGGTACGTAATATTTTTTGAACTCAGCCAATTCTGCAAGTCTTTTTTTAACCACTTGGTTGTGGGCAGTCCTTCTATAAGTCTGGAGTGATAACTTGCATTATCCATTACTATTACACAGTTCTTAGGAAGAAGATCTATCATTTGTTCGAACGATTCTTGAAAGACATCAGCGTTCATGTCTTCATGGTAGTCACCGGTACGAGTTGATTCAAAAGTTAATAAACCACCTTCAACAAAACCGTCTGAACTGCCAATGTGTACTATTATCAGCCTGCGTCCCTTTCCTGATGGTGGGTTTAAACCAGTAGATAAGTTATTTACAAAAGCGTGCCTTTGACTTGTAACAGTTTCATCCTGCCAAAATTTATTTGGTGTATGACCCTCGTTGATCCATGTTTCATCAAGATAAAATATTTTTCTTTTTTGGTTTCTCATTTCCTTTATGGTTCTTAGAAAATGTCTTCTCCATATGACAATATCGCTTCTTTCTAATAAAATAGACTTTCTGGGATTCTTTTTCCAGCGGAAGCCTATTTCTTTTAAAAGTTTCCATAACGTAATTCGACTCATTTCTGGGTAATCCTTATCATCTCGAACTGAGACAAGAACTTTATCCAATGTTGGAAATTCTTGTCTAAAGAAGAATTCATGCACTTTCCGTCGAAGTCCTTCTTTAAAATGAAATTCTATTTGAAATTTTGATTTCCCTGGAGCATTACGTGGCATTTGAAAACTACCACATTTCTCTTCTTTAATAACTCTGTAAATGGTAGATTTCCCAACACCAAGTGTACTGCTAACTAACTCAACGGTCTCATCAATACTTTCACATAAACGTTTGTCTGTAAATGATTTAAAACAATTAAATATTATTGTTTTTTCATTAACTGTTAAAGGACCAATTTTTCGGCGTTTACACGGCACTTCCAAATTTTCCATAACACTAGTATACACAATAAACTGCACCTTGCAACTGAAGTACCTACTTTTAGTGAACTGTTAAGAATTTTGAATACGCCACTTGGACCTTCCTACAAAATGGAAAAACCCACTATCACATTTTCTGTGGAGTAAGTTTAGAAGGTAATTATCTAGTCAATTACTGTCGTAGATTCCTGGAATTAAAGAATTAAATGTTTGATTGTTGAAACCCTTACTTCGTGGAATGCACTCATTTCAGATAAAATAAAACGTTTTATTTTATCTAAAGAATTAAACCTTATTTTGCAAATAGGTAGGTACTTATTAAACTTTTATTGGTTATATATAACCAATAAAATAAACATCTTACATTTCTTGCAAATTCATTAGTACCTGTTAACCTCCATCACTTCGACACTGGCAACCTTATTTAGGGATTAGTAACCCTCACAACTATTGCATTCTATTCTGCTTCAACCTTTATACCTGGTGGTCATACTCAATTTAAAATTGTTTTCCTATATACTTCTGTAAACTTGTTGACAAATATCTGTTTTTCATTGAGTCACCCGTATCAACAGTTTAGGGATTTGCATACATAATTTATTGTTTTATTACTCTCTCATACATCAAAATACACTATAGGACATGAGGAGTGCGAAAAATGTGAGCAGTTTACTCTTTATGCCCACAAAAAAAAAGAATCTTGACATATCGTGTAATATATAATGCAAAGTTCATAACGAATTAGTTATAGAAGCTAGAAACGCATATAAAAGCTTTTCTGAACAGGAAAGATCAAATAATGCAATATGTTTTTCAAGTGACATGCAGAAGGTTATCATGTTGCCAACAGTGGACATGTTCAAGAACAGTATTATTTGTAAAGCGCAAGTTCACTTCATTTTGTGGCATGAAGGAAATTCAGGCCGCAATAAAGAAAATAATGTTAGTGCGTTGTACATGTTTTTAAAACAATACAGAGATATTGAAAAAATAGTTCTTTGGTTAGACAACTGCTCTTCCCAAAACAAAAACTGGTGCCTTTACTCATTTTTAGTGTACATAATAAACTCTTGATTACATTGCAGCTAATGAAATAGTTTTAAACATGGACGTATACACAGATGGACTCAGTTATTTACATAAAATTGTGAAGTCAAAATTAATTGAATAGGTCACATTCTGAGCACCTTCAACTGTTGTCACGTTTTGTTTTAAAATTTCTTATTCGCGAGTCGCTGAAAATATTACTCCGTATTTTATACTCTATAGGTGCTATCAAACCAAAATAATAATTTATTTGTTATATTAATATATTTAATTATAATCAAAATATCAAGTGTGCACATAGTGTGCATTATCATTTAATAATAGCGTATAATAGATATCAATCAATTATTTTATATGTAGAAGCACTGAAAACTATTTGGCAACGGTTGTTTACATTTCTCTGTCTTATGGATCTACGTCAAACTTCAAATGCTGTTCCATGTTTGTTTACTTTTTACAGTAAATGAGGAAAAAGTTATTTTTCGATATTTTGGCTGTATTTTGAGTGATATTTGTGAAAAGTGAAATAAAATAAACGAAATATTTACATCCCGATCTCTCATTTCATTTGTAAGTACATACAATTTACATTATTTAAGATGAGGAAATGAGGAAGCGTGTTTGTTTACATTTTAATAGGCGTACCATTGGGTTTATTCATGTTCATTAATGTATTGAATAAGATATGAGTTCATGAAATTAGTAGACATTTATAAATTGTAAGTAGACATCATCTGATTAAAAAAAAAGTTTAGTACCTTTTTAATTTAATACTTCTCATGGATACAAATAAATTAGTGAATGAATAAAACTCATTTATTTTTCTATGTAGGTTTCCAAATAATATTGACGATCGAACTATTTGGGTAGCAAATTAAGGAGAAAACATAAAGATTTTTTATTGTAGCATTATTTTGATACTATTAAAAAATTAACTTGAATTCAACTATATTTAATTGTATTAATTTTAAAGCAAATAAAATTGTATTTTAATTTTTCTATAAAGACGTGATTTGTTAACGTTTTTTTTTTAATTCTTTGAACGTGTTTTTATACATTATTACTACTTCCAATTTTTAAAATCTGAATAATTACCCGCGAGTAAAAATTCATTCAAATTTGCGGAAGCATCACATTCTATCGAAGCTTCAAAACATTGTGTGTTAAAGGTATCTTATTGCTGTGTCCATCTATGTTTATACGTCCATGGTTTTAAACTATTTCCAACCTGGTCATTCATTCATGAGTGCAGACAGTTTTCACCATTAAGTAGAGCAATCATTAAAGGTTCAAAAGAAAACTTATGATTTTGAAGACTTTGTTAATGCAGTGAAAAAATCCAAATCTGGAAATGTCAATGTATACAAAATGCAACATTTTGATTTTGATTTCTACAACTGGCCCAATTTCGTGTCCCAACAAAATCTAAAATCATCGTCACGTTTGTATTTAAGTAACATAGTTAATATTAAAGCTGAACGAGGCAGTTATCATTTGTAGTGCAAGACAAACTATGATGCAATGAGCCCCTACCAACAACTGAACTTTTTACAAAAAATATGAATGAAAGGGATTAAACTGCCCAGCCATCACAATGCACCATGTGGATTTCCAAAAGATAAGAAGAAAAATAACCTTCAGTCATTACACGAAGTACTTCCAGAAAATCGAAAACAATTTTGGAAAGACTTGCCTACAAACATCTCAGCCAAAAGACTGAACCTATTGTGACATTCGTTCTACTTATGTATAAGTATTGGTTATATTTTTTAGAAAATATGTTGAGTTAATCCATTCCTAAAACTGTATATTAAGTTTATTTTTCTTACATTAATAGTTTATAAAATATCTAAATGCTGCGTTCATTCAAAAAACTATTAAAAATGTAAAGCAGTACATACGGCAAATATAGCCATTCACATTACTAAGGAAGAGTGATGTATGTACGACACCATTTTATATTTTCAACTTTTTTTTGCATTAAAAACTAGAATTATAGAATAAAAATTTTCATTTGTGTTCAACGTAAATGTACTTGAAGAATAAACAATTAATAACTAAAATATCTTCATGTTCAAAATTACAGCATCATTCTAAACTTTATGTTGAGTTTTCTAAAAATCGTACTATTGTTACTTACGGCACTAATGGTAGCTGGGCAGAATACGGGTAATTATATTTTTAGCATTTAGTTTACCATGTACCGTTGACCTGAAGATGCATAGCAAATTATATATATTAGTATGCGAAACCGGTTTTTGGTGGTAGAATAAATTGATTGTGTCTTATTCTTATTTCTTTTTACCTATAATGTTAATTATATGTATTGTAATCATTTCACACTTACCAAATTATTGCTAAGATCAATACATTTAACAAAATTTGGTGTAGAGGATAAAATTTTCAAAGGATCCAGTACTCTGATTCTATTTTTCCGCAGTATATACGTCTTTATATTCAGCTGTTTTGATATGCGTAGTACAAAATACAAAATCTTCGGTTGAAACAGAGGAGTAAATTCTATGAGATCTAAAAAATACAATAAATACAGCTGGTTTTAAAAGCAGTGGCGAGCAGTCCCACAAAATATTTTATCACGTAGACAATACAAAGAGCTATGCAGTTAAACCATGTTATACTACCATATACAGTGTAGGAAAAAGTTTATGGTCGGTATGGAACTTACGTGAGATGGAGTAACAGCTGTTTAAAAAGAGAGAGGTATATTAGGTCAGCCCTTTATATCGCCGAAAATGCATGCGTGGAAATAATAAAAAAGAGGAAGTTCAACGTTGCCAAACTTATTGGTTTTATTTGACCTGTTGTCTTTTTTGCATTTGAACAATGTTCTAAGATAATCAAATTTGGGCGAAATTGATTTAAATGACTGTTTTTTATTAGGAATATGCCACAAGTTTACTTTACAATAAGTTTAATATAACATTTCGATTTCCATTTCGGAAATCGTTTTATATAAATAAAATTTATTAATGTTTTGTATTTTAAGTACGATTTCCGAATTAAAAATCTAAACATCAAAATAAGCTTATTTTAAAGTCACATTGTGCCTTATTCCCAATATGAAATAATAAACTGCATACAATAACGCCACATTAAAAAATCTTCATACACAATAATTATTTGGCAACGTCTGTCTGGTCAAAACACCGAGTAACGAGTAGTAGAGGTGGGTCGTGGTAGTTTTATCGTTAAGAGCGTAAGCGCAAAATTTCGGGCCAATGTTTTTTAAATGCATTCATTTTTTTTCGAATCCTGAGAAAACTAATAAATATTTTTGAAAAATTAAAACGCAGAATGAAACAATACATTCTTACCGAGGGCCGAAAGTCCCTGAAAACTTCTATAATGTTTATTTTAATAAGTTATAGGGGTGAAAAAAAAATGAAGTATGATTTTTAATTTCAAATATCTATCTCATTCAAAAAACTTTTTGTTTATTCTAAGGGACTTTCGGCCCTCGGTAGTAATGTAATCTTTCATTCTGCATTTAAATTTTTTTTAAATATTTGTTAGTTTTCTCAGGATTAAAAAAAATGAATGCATTACAGTAAACAAGTAACTATGATTATTTAAAAGTAAATTCAAGTAAAAGAGTATCTACATAAACAAACATAATGGCCATTATCGTTTATGTGTATATTTATTGAAGTGAAAGAAACTAATGATATGTTTATTATAACTTGAAAAATAAACTAAACAATACAAATAGTAAATCGTACTTAAATTTACATTACACGTTATTATTAAATCGCGAATCGTCTAAATTGACTTTAAAAAACGTAAATTTTTCTACTTTACTTCTTGTTAACCGTGTTCTTTTTTTATTTAAAATTAAACCAGATTTTGAACATGTGTTCACATTTACAATACTTTATAAATATAGTGGTTAAGTTAGGATATACATGGCGATGGTTTTTCCACCGTTGTAATGGACTCTCGATACAGGTATACGTGTAGATGAGTCATCTCCAATTAATTGATCAAAAATACACCATGGACTTAAGTCATCTTTATCGGTTTCTTTTTCTTGTACTGGATGATTTTCAATAGTACAATCTTCTTGTTCGTTAATTATAGAAGTAACCAGCTTCTGAACTTTTTCTTTTGGTTTTTTAGATTCATTTTTCTCAGAAAAACACTGCACATGTATTTCGTGGGCTAGAATAGATGAAACACCAATAGCAGCCTTAAAACCTGTACATGGTAGACTCCTTCCATTGTTAGTTGCTACCAATCCGATAAATTACGGAAGACCTTGTCAGCTGAGTTGCGTAGAAACTATAGCAGCTACAATGTACATAACAGGTTTTAAAGAAGAAGCCAGATTTTATATGAACAAATTTTCGTGGGGACACTCTTTTGAAGAGCTAAATAAAGAACTGTTGGATATTTATGTTACTTGTACTGATAGTAAGTCTGTTGAGGAGGCACAAAATGAATATATTAAGAAGGAACAACTTAAAGAGGAACAAGATAAAAGAAGCCAGCCAGATTTTCCAAGCTCCAGTGATTCAAGTGATACTGAGTGAAAAATTGTATATATTATATAAGTTTTGTTAATTTTTAAGAAAATATAAAAAAAACAAAAAAAAATTATTATTTCATCAAAATTATGAACAGTAGTGTACTTTGAAATTGTAACTTGTTTAATTTGTATTTTATTTAAATTGTTCATATTTATCGAAGTTATTGTATAAATTATTAACCATGAGCAGTACGTTTTTTTTTGTTTATATTTAGGAAATATATTTTAGGATGTTATTTTTAAAGGCCTAGGCCTACAGTATCAAAAAGGTAAAAAATCGATTTTATGAAAATTAAAATTTATAAGGATAAAAAATATGTTGTTTTTTAATGTGGGTGTATCAAAGAATACATACACTTCATCTAATTTATATAAGGATGCACGTCATCGGCGTCGTAGCCCGTGACGTCACATGATACCAACACAAAATATTTAGCCGGTAGGTGTCTTCTATTTTAGAATAACTTTGCCGAGTACACTGGCATTACAGCCACTAGACATATTTTATTATATACGCGTAGAAATAATATTTATAATTTTCTATTAATGTTAACTTAAAGAAATACACAATAATATGTTTCATTTAATTTGTATAAATGCATTATAAAACGTTTTTATGAAGAACATTTGTTCGGAACACACTGTAACTGTAATCGAACGAAGGTGAAATTTTGGCATAAATTGGTAACACTTATTTGATAGTTGTGGTGTTGACACTTTTTGTACTTTATTATTTTGAATTTTAAAGTGAATACCTCTTGTTTTATATTTTTACCTATTTAATAAAATCTGTTCTTTTTAGAACAAAATTAGTATGTTTTATTTCAAAAATGTCACGTAAGAATTTAAATAGTCGTTGTAAAGAGATGGTAATACTTTTGCTATAATTAAGTGATCTATTTGATTTAAAATGAAGTCAGGATTTTTTTATACTTTGGCAACTACGTCAACTTCGATCTCTGACGTACATAATGACGTGCATCGGTATGTAAATTAGATTAAATATACAATACAACGCATATAGAAGGATCTTTGACTGTTATTTTTTAGCGTTGGCAAAGGTTGATCATACGTTATAAAAAAGAAGCAAAGGTGGATCAAGATTTTAGCTCCTTATTAGTACCAGTAGGGAGCGGTCATGTCAGCGCTATTATTGCTTCTAAAATATGAAAGAGTGGGGCAACAAATGCAACTTTAGATATTTTTATACGCAGATGGCGCGTGATCGTAGAATAGGATTAAATTTTTGCTTTTTATAAAAATTTTTTAAGAAAATAATATTATTTTAACTTTTAATAAATAAATCTTTTTAGAAAAAATATTATGATTCAAATTTTTAATTGAAGTATATGTACAAATCTACAAATAATATAATTAAAACTCTCTTCTTATAAACTATAAATAATATTAATTAAAAGTCAATCACCGGGAGAGAAAGCTCAAAAAATTGTAAGGTGTTTCGATCAAAAACAATTCCTGATCTTGTTAGTACGCTAGAATTGCTTTTTAGCACATACACCAAAGAATTATTTTTTACAATTTGAAAATTCGAAATTGTGAAGTATAATTTCGGATTTTTAAATTAAAAAATAAATAAGTAAGTTTCAAATAACGCCTCACTAGAGCTTAACAAAAGAAGATGAGAAAAAAGGCAAAAATGGCTGCTGAGACATGGACCATAGCAAATACTAAGAAATCCAAATCAGCAACACCCGACGATAAAAAGAGACTTCAGGTGAATACCATCACGACCATCTTAACAGAGTTGCTAAGAAACCAAGGTGCTCTAACGAGCAGACTAGGTCATAAAGCAATCTGACAAAAAATATTCAGAATGATAGTACCACACAGACACCTTCCTGATACTCAACTACATAGATTGGGCTCAAGCAAATTTGATCATTAACAAATTGGAGGAAGCACTGGATGAGGCTCCTATCTGAGGTCAAAATGAACTTCTGCAGTTCCATAAAACATCGTTTAGCGAAGGGACCCTGTGGGTGAACTGTGTTAACGGGTATACAAAAAAATGGATGACTGAAGTGGTGAAAACTATTGAGGACCTGTGAAAGGGAGTAAACTCCAGGGAAAATTGTTCCAAATAATATGACCAAGCGCCACATGGACCTCACCCCAAATCCCCGAGAAAAAACTTGATGAAGAAACTATCAGGACCCGTCTAAAGAGGCAAAATCAAGACTTTAGCACAGAAAACTGGTTGTGATCTCTGTTCCACAGAATGAACGACGGTAAAGATAAAGGTTATAGAGGAAGGAGTTATGAAGAAGATAGTTCTCAGATTAGCATACCTCCCATATGATGATCCCGAACAACCATCAAGGGAGTTGGAACAGTTAGTGAGAGATTGCATGAAAAATGAACTGCAATTAATCATTGGCTATGATATGAATGTCTACCATCTGACCTGGGGCAGTACAAATACCAAACTGTTAAAAAATGGCATGCTTTAGATGACATGTCTTGTTCAGACCATCGAGACAGACAATGAGCATTTCAAGGAATCTTATCGTAATCCTCGTAAAACAAATTGGGAAGCATATCAAGAAGACCTGGAATATTGTTTAGGTAATATTAAAGGGACGATCAGGCATACATTGTACATAGACATGGCCGCCATACAATTTCATTGCCATGTCAGCGCTTAAAGATAATTGTCTTATATAGTGAAGAATTTCAACGGGAAAGTACCCTGATGGAATGACAATATTGCAAATTAAAGGACAGAAGTCAAAATTGTCTAAAAAGTTTGATGAAAAGTTCTGAGAAAATTAAATTTTTGGTTGAAAAGTTTAATTTAAATGAAATTTTTTAAAATGTTTCGTAAATTTTTGGACAGGTTCTATTTTTAAATCAAAGTTATAAAATTGTATTTACATGTAATAAAAAAAATAAATACTTTGAATATTGTAAATATCATACCTTTTAAGTTTTAAAATTAAAAATTGAACAATTTAATATATTAAAAATAAAGATTTTGTCGTGAAAAAAAAAACAAAAAAGACAGTTTGCAAATCAATGGCATTGAAATTTGATTAGGCGTGGATGCATAAGTTAAATAAATAGCTCTGTTCGTACTCCTTTCCCACTTCCCTCTAACTACATCTTTCATGATGGTTTTAAGCCGACGGCCACGGTTTGAGTGTATATGGTCGCCCTCTTAAGGATTGTTTTAAAGTATAATAATCGTAGCCAAATCGCCCATTTGAACTGTCCTTCTATATGCGTCTATATTCTTTGGTAGTATATAAAAGAAGCGTACCTTCATCTTCATGGAAGTTTGTTAAATCGAGAACTTGGCGATCACTTCTCTTGGTCAATACATATTTTAGATTCCTTTGTACATCTATTTTAAGGTCCATCGTTGATGTAAATCCCAGCAAAATACTTAACCTGAACTAAAAAAAAAAACTATCAAGTATTTATCCTTTTTTTATATATAGAATAATTTATAGAAATGTTTTAATAGATTGTGGCATGTCAATTTCCCTTATATTAAAAATTTCGTTGTCTGTACCAAAATATTACATAGATAGTTTTTATGGCCCTGACTTCATCTTTAAAAATATTAATTTCAGCCTCACCTATAATAAATTATGTTTGGATTAGAATAGTCATAAGTTCCCAGAAACTACTTCATTGTGTTTAACTTATATAATCACTCCCAAAATTTAATTAGTTTTGACTATGAAGAAGATATTCTCCTGGAAACAGAACCCATACCTTTTTTTTAATTAGCTTTGGCTAACTTATAACTAGGGGTACGGAAATTTCGCAAATAAAAAACGTGAATTTCGCATTTACTTTTTTTATAATTACAAAATTTCGAATTTTATTTTTAACCACGAGTAAAATAATAAAAATCATTAATTAAAAGCTAACACCAATGTAATTTCGACATTCGACTTAAGAGCTGTTCTTCAATCTGCCACTACAGTATTATATTTGCTGAAGAATCGTTCTGCGTCTACACTGTTTATTGGACTCCAGATGCTCTGTAGTGCTGCTTTAGCAAATGATGGAAAACTGCACTGTGTAGCAAGCAAAATACCCTTCACATTGGGATCTTCGTGCCTTCATATCAATTGAAGGATTAATCCATGAAAGTGATTATATCCATCTACGTACTCCAATTGTGTCATTGTTTTCTGAGAGTACACTCGGGTTCACAGTAAGACTTGCAGCTATACATAGGTTAAATAACTATCCAATGTGTAAGAAAGCCTCGTTTGTGTCTTTTAAAGTCATATGGAGAGTTAGTTTATTAAAGGCTCTGCCATTTGCTTTCATAAGCATTTCCTTAAGTGTAGCGTCAATTTCTTCGTTTTCAGTGAACAATTGAGATGTTTTTACATCAAAATAACTTTGCCGATGGTGTTCAAGTGATGATTTTAAGTACTCTAATTTATTCCATAAAAGATGGGTGAATGGATAACTGGCTCCTTCCAAATCGTCTATTAATTCTGATTCTAATTAATAAGAGTACTGAGTTCTAAGAGTAAGAGTACAGAATCTATAGTTCTGGTTTTGTCTGCTACTATTACAATGGGCTTGTCTTTCAATGACTTGAATGTTGGCTTTCAGACGACACATACTAACTGTATCCTCCACAAAAGTATCGTTTTCTTGTTTTGATCATTTCTGTCTCTCAAAGCCACTAGCAATTTGTTGCTTAGTTCCTGAAGTAGATGCTATATATTTTTCTTGTTAATGTGGTTAGTTGACTTCACATGTTTCTGAAGTGTGTCCTTTTTGTCACCTTCCAAATGAGTATTACAATACTTGCACATCACAATATTTGTGCCACACAGATATAGGCCATCTGTTGCAAGTTCTTTGACTTGATCACTCAAAATTGTTTTATGGCGTCCCATTTTAGGGGATACTTTAAGTAACTTTATTTTACTATGAAAACTTTTTTAATAGACTATGTTCTCACTCAGTAAAAATTGATGGAATGAGCACTGAGTGTCCTGGTTTACTAATTTATATGTTTAGATAATAAGAATTAGCCGACTTTTATCCCTACTCCGATTTTTACCAATACAAAAGACTGAATTGCAGATAAGAACAGTCAGCTTATTTTTGTATTAAATTATGTATTATATTTCATAAAAACAAAAATTCTGTACCCCTACTTATAACCCAACTTAGAAAAAGACAAAAAATTGCTGAAGATATCTATTATGACCATTCATTTCCACTTAGGTTCTGAACAAAAAAACATTATTTGACTACAAGCATAAAGATTAAAAAAATCCATCTGATCAATTTAAAATTAATTTTTACTTTGTTATATTGCCACTGCCTTGTCAAAATTAGAAGAAAAATTCGAACAAAGCAACATGATACATTGTTATATTTTCTCAACAACCTATATAATTTCCTTAAAATACATAAATCAATTAGGTGCACAAAAGATAAAGATCTTGCAAATATTTTTGTACACTATAATTTCCCTGAAATGTCATCAACTAACTAAACTATTCACCAATAACCTCATATATCTATTTCCAAATTTAGTAATTGTCATAGAAATTTTCTTAACATTATCTGTGACAGTACATAGTGGGGAAAGAAAGCTTTTCGGAAATAAAACTAATGGACTGTAGTCTCTATAAGATATTTATCTTCAAAACACTACCCAAAACTGCTTTGAAATATATTTGCAGCATAAAAAGTAGCGATGAGAAGGTCATGAACGATCTGTTCACAAAGATCTGATCTTTTTTGAAGACCAGTGATTGATACAATCACATTCTGTGACCCTACTGTTCGAATGACCCTATGAATGATGCTGTCTAATGTTGAACTGTGTAATCATAACACCTTCAATGTGTGATCGTTCAAACGCTGATTTCAGTTACCCAGAACGGCGAAACCCTTATGCTGCAAAACTGTAAAATTATATACATTCGAATTGTCTAGTCAATAGTAGAATTCTGTTTATAAATTTGTAGAAAATAAAATCCATATTACTTAATTGTTGCATGATCATTCATTAATGAACATAACAATATGGAATTTGTAATTTTACTTAACTTTTTCAAGTATTTTTTTTACATATTAATGATTTCTGAAAATGATTTGAAAAATACAAATCTTAACACTTTCACTGCGAATTTTAGAGTGTGTCGTGCCTAAGAAGGTGAATTGGTACAGCTTCTTTAATACTATAATACTAGGTACACTGAAAAGGGCCATGCGCACCTGGAAGTTAACCGATGTGGCCCAGATCGGGTTCATGTGCATTTAATGTGTTAATGTCAGCCTTAAACTATATTTCATTCTTAAATTTATAGTAACAATATCGAATTCTACATGTAAACAACAATATAATTAAAGTTGTTCTAATGTAGGAATCTCCATAAACGGGTCTTGAATCGTCATTAATTCATACACTCTCAGAAAGATTTATAAACATATCAATATTAAACTCTACATATTTGACCTTTACACAACAAACTTAATTAGTCATTCATATGAACGGATCTTTATGAACAGGTCATTTTAACGAATGACCTGGAAGACCCGGGTCACCAAAACGAACCAGGTCTTCCCATCACTATTAAAAACGTTTGTCACAGAATAAGGTTTTCAATATATCTTTAGTACTGTGTAAAAATCTATCAAATACCTATAACATATTGGAAAAATAAAAATATATGGATTATAAAGTGAATAAAAAGTAAACCACAATCCACTGTTCAAATTTCTGACTAATCCGACTAGCCTTACTCATGTAAGTAATTACCAGAATTTTTAGTTTATAGTTTTTTAACTATATACCACATATACTGTACTATAATATTACACTGCATACATACTGGTGTTATACTTTTAGGATTGGGCACAACTAAGTTGCCACTGCATAGTTTTTCTATAGCTGGGCCACAATTTCGACCCAGAAAATATCCACAGCCCTCCTCTTCCCAATACAACACTGGAATTAGATCGAATGGAAAAACATATTCCAAAATTGCAATTAGAACTTGATCTCGTTTTGCATTAAAAATATTTCTAACCTGAAAAAAATTACAATGGTTAACAATTTTCAATAGTTATTGAAATTTCAATTTTGCAGCTTGTACTGTCTATGCTTCTTTTACACTTACCCTGAATCTATGCCAATGATTAACGTCTTTAAGCAAACCTCTATGTTTAGGTAAAATCCCTATACACATATCTGTTATCAAAACATGCTGGGGATCTGGTGTTTTATATCTAATATAATTCAGTTGTTCAATTTGTTCCATTCGTTGGTTGAGTAATTCCTGGCTTTCAATTTGTTCCATTATATTAAATTTGTTATATCTTCCGGACACAACAAAATTCTAGTATTTAAAATTTACAAATAATGCATGTGAATACTTCAGTTTTCAAGTTTCAAATCATCCTCATCCATCATCGCATCATCCATATCCAAATCTGATATTGGTTTCGGTTTTTATTAACGACTGCGACTGGAAGAGGGCACTACTTTTCACTGTGTAAAACCAAGTGAAAACACATGAATATTGAAATAAAATATTTCAATTCCGAAAATATTTTCATGTAAAAAAAATTACTTGAACTTAAAAAGTTTTCAAGTATATACATATGAAATAAACACTCACAAAATTCGTTAACCAAACTTCTTGTCTTGTTATTGATTTTTATGTTGGTTCTATTGTACAACTACCACCAACCAAAGAAATGTTATGTTAGTGTTAGGCATATTTTTGACTAATCACCAATTGATGTTTTTAAATTTATAAAATAAAACTCTTGAAGTATGATAAGAAAAGTATGTATTTCCCGTATAAAAAATTAGGTAAGCCTATAAAATTCATAGCCGTTTAACATTCCTAATTTCTCAAAAATATTCAAAATAATAGTAAATATTGTATTCATGTAAAATTGCCCTGTCTGTAGATGACTTCCAGTTCCAGATGACACACTTGAAAGTTGTCAAAATTATTAAAATTGAGAAATTCTCATGTTTTTCAAATAAAAAATAACATTATATTACTCCATTTTCACCATAGAATGACAAAAATAAGTAGGTTGTTTGTACATATATTTATACCAGCTCAGTTGGATTAGAACAATAATAAATTTTAGGTTATTCACAAAAAAAACACTTATGGAAAATATTATGTTTTAGGTGAAGTGTGGAAACAGGAGTACTGAATGTTTTCTAAAGTCGCATTTGATAATAACTTAAGAAAATTGGAAGAAATATGCCAGCAGCTACTCTAGGTAGCATACCACATCCTAATAATGAAGACTGTGGCATTAGGGATGTTTGGGCACATAACCTGGAGGATGAATTCAGAACCATCAGACAAATAGGTAATATAAGCACCAACAAAGTATTCACTGTTATTATTTTATTGGGATTTGACTTCAATCTTCGTTTTTAGCTGTGTTTTGTCAATGTCTAAATTATTTTTGAAGATATTTTCTATGGCTTCCATTAGAACAATACTATGTAATGTATTTTTACCATTTTTTCTGTCCCTGTTAGTTCTTTACATTAATTGCTTATTTTTAAGCCAGAGGTTAAGCTGTTTTCTCTCAATTAGATTCTTCTTGAAATACTATATATGTCAGTTATTGTGTCAAATATTCTTGCATACCATTTCATTGGGAACTTGAATAATATCCTAAAAAGTTATATTTATTTGTTAAATGTAACTACACAGGCATCTTCTATTTTTTGTATGTTTTTGGCCAGAACATGAACACTATACCCCAGCTAATAATTATAAACTAAAAATAAAAAAAAATGAAATGGATCATACATGTGATAATTTTAGAGTAGTAGAGTAGAGTAAATTTTTATTTGCATAAATTTTAATCATAATTGAGCAAATAATGTCACATTATTAATTAGACATTAAAAAAATATATATTGACACCACACATTTAAAATATATTAACATTACAAATTCAATATACTGATCAAGGAGAATGATAGGCCAGGCACTCTACTACAGTATAGGTCTCAATGTCAACTAGGTGTTGAAAAATATTTCTTTTAAAAGCTCTGTAGTGTGTTTCCTGTTGAATGTCAGATGGTAGACTATTATAAAATTTAACACAGGCATACAAAGGACTTCTCTCTGTTATAGACAATCTGTGAAGTGACAAATTCAAATTAAGGCTTCTTGTATTATATTCATGATTGGGAAGCAGGTGATAAAACAAAGAAAATTTTTTAAAAAGAAAAATAATACATTCAAATATACAGATGGCTGAGAAAGTGAATATATTGAGTGATTTGAATCAGCTTTTATAGGATTCTCCCGCCTTTAGTCCTAAGATCACCCAGACTGCCTTTTTTTGGACCATAAAGACAGTTGAGCTATCTACTGCAGCACCGCAGAAGATTACTCTATATTGCATAACAGAATAATAGTTTGCATAATATACTGATAGTAAAATCCCTTCAGAGTAGTTAAGAATGTTATATATACATATTTAAGTTAAAGTTTTGTTTAAAATAATTATAATTAGTTAATATTAGGATTATGTTTAAAAAAAATGCCCTAGGCCTTAACAGTCTGATGTGCGTAAAAATAAATAAAAAATCCCTTGGTCTAGATAGCTCTTTCACTCTTAATGAGTAGCGGGCTCTATTCAATTTTTTTGTTGTATTTTGTATTTGTTCCCCCAATTCAAATTCTGGTCAATATCAAGACCAAGAAATTTAACTGATCTACCAGGTTTGGTGGTTGTTTGGTAATTTTGTCTAGAAACTGTTCTCATTACTGGCTGGTTCTAAATTAGACAAAAACTATTATCAGTATTAAGCAACAACTGATTTCCACTGAACCACTGTTCAGCCTTGCTTAGAATTTGTTCTGCCACTGTGAGGAGTGTTTCTAAAGTTTTTTCCCAGAAAAGCACATTTGAGTCATCAGCGAAATTTACAAGTTTTGAGGAACTACTAATCACCACATTCGGAAGGTCGTTTATGTAGACCAAAAAGAGAAAATGCTCCAAGACACTCCCCTGTGGTATGCCTAATTTTAAATTGATCAGTTCAGAGTAAACCTTACATCCCCTTTTCTCCAGGCATACCTTTTGCGACCTATCTATGAGAAATGATTTTATCCATTTTAATGCATTGTAATAAAAAAACATGGTCTAGTCTAGGCTATAGAAAGCCTCAGATAGGTCCATAAAAGCACTAGTGTTTTCATCTTTGCCTCTAGTTTTTCTAAAATTTTTGATATAAAATCATAAGTAGCTGTCTCAACAGATCTCCCTGTGAGAAAACCATGCTGTGAACTACTAAATAAGTTGTTTGTAGTAAAAAAGTTTTGTAGTCTGAAATATATTGCTTTTTCAAATATTTTTAAGAATGATGGAAGAAGGCTTATTGGTCTATAGTTCTCCATCTTAGTAACATCACCTTTTTTATGAAGTGGCTTGACAATTGAGAGTTTAAAATTTTGAGGAAATTTACCTTACCTGAAAGAAGCATTAACTATAAAAGAAAGAGGAAGAGAAATCTCTGATGAAACATATTTAATTAAGTTGGTTGATATTTCATCATAACCAGAGCTATGCTTGTTTTCTAAGTTATTTATTATGTGACTTATTTCTTTCTCTGAAACTGGAGTTAAAAACATGCAATGATTAGTTTGTTCGATATTAATTTAAAAAATTTTTACGTGCTTTATTTTCTTTACAGCTTCTGGCGCTGCATTTGCCATAAATTGATTCATTTCGTTAGAAAGCACCTGAGGGTCACCCTCCAAACAGAAATTACTTTGATTTTTGGAATTACCCTTAATCTCTTTTACCAATTGCCAAGCCATTTTACTTTTATTTTCGCTATTTTCAATTAATTCTTTATAACAATTTTTCCGAGATTGAGTGAGTAAAGAATTGTATTTGCATTTTTCTGTCCTGTAAATAACTTTTTTAATCAACATTATTGGTAAGCTCGGGCTTTTGAAACAAACAACTTTATTACCTTATCAAAGTTTGATAAAAGATGATTGCACAGTGCTAGAAGTACATCTTGCACACTTATACATTCAAGGAAACCAAATTGAGACTTTTCTATAATGTTGTGCTTTTTAATACACAAGAGAAGACATGTATGAAATGCCTTCTCATATATTTTTGAAAACACAGATAAAAGTGATAGGCCTCGATAGTTATCAAATTTTGATTTGTCACCTTTTTTATGTATAGGCACAACTAAAGCAGTATTTAGAATTTGAGGAAAAATCCCTTCTTGAAACGAAAGGTTTACTAGAAATGTTAATTGTTTATATATGTTATGAGATACATGTGATAACATAGAATATGGGATCTCATCCAGTCCAGCTAAGGATTTTTTTGAGATATCTTTAATTAGACTGTTTATTTCTTCATGACTAACACGATAAAGGAAAAGGGAATGTATAGGCAAAGAAAGATTCTTAGGATTATAGTCAGGTGAAGTTTGACTGATTAAATTTTTTACGGAATTCGAAAAATGTTGACTGAAATATTCAGCTATGTCATGAGGGTCATCCACAGAAATTCCTGTGTTTATTGATAGAAAAAGACTGTACTGATATCGTGTTTATTGATAGAAGAGCATTGAATGCATACTGATACATTGCCGAAATTCTAGATGGGTTTGTGGGCGAAAAGTTTATTTTTATGCAAGTCAATGCGTGGCCACATGTAGACAGGATGGTAACGCAGCACCTTGGTGTGCCTAGATTTGAACCCGATTGAGTATGTTTGAGACCAACTCAAATGAATAGTAAGAAACAGAATACCTGGTCCAATAAATCGTGAGCAACTTCAGTTGGCGCTCATGGAAGAATGGAAAACTTTTCCTCAAGACAACATCCAGAATTTAATTAATTTAATGGCAAGTCGAATGAGAGTGTAATTCAAAATAGAGGTGGTAATACAGAATATTAAAAATCACGACTTTATTGTAATTTTTATAGAGGAAACAGCAAAAATTATAATGTTAATTTTTGAAATTTTCTATTAAAATCTTTATTTTGGGAGAAGGTTTTTTTGACATTTTTTTACTTAAGAAATGGTTGCATACTGCTTTAGAACGAATTCTTTAAAGATTAGTACACAAACATCTAATGACAATCAATTTTTGTAAGTCTCCTAAAAATTAAAACATGCCAAGAATTTTAGGTGGCTTCTTTTTAATTAAGTGCGGTGTATTTATGTCTAAAAAAATGTATGCTGTACTTTTATTTTATTATAATAACTGATGTGTTTATCCATATTTGTTTTTCTAATTTATATTTTTCTTTTCAGTACAAAAATATCAGTATGTTGCTATGGACACAGAATTTCCTGGTGTAGTTGCAAGGCCTATTGGAGAATTTAGAAGTTCTGCAGATTACCAATACCAAATGCTGAGGTGCAATGTAGATTTATTGAGGATAATACAGCTTGGGCTGACGTTTCTTGATGATAACGGAAAAACTCCAGGTGGTGCCTATACTACATGGCAGTTCAACTTCAAATTTAACCTTCAGTATGTAAATTGAACTCTTTTAATATATAGTCATATAGTTTCTGATGTACTTCCTCATATAGGATAAAATAAATAAGCACAAACTTTTTATAACTTTAACAGCTTAAGGGGGTATGTTCACGCCGCAGTTAAAATGAGTGGTGTTTAAATAAACTAACGTTTAACAATTTCTTGAATAGATGGCAGCACGTGCATCATATTTTAATATTTTAATTTTCTCGAAATTTAATTATCTGAACAGCGACAGTGTTGCCAACAAGGCCAAGTACTGGAACTTGGAAATATAATATACGATCGGGAGAATCGGTATAGTTCGCTCTCGGTCGGCAGTCTTCTGCAATGTAAGTTGAAATTGCGCTATCGTATTATTTGATTTGAAGTTTCACAAATTCTAATTTTTGGATTGGATAATTGGATCATTCCATATCATTTTTTAATTTTTGTATCGTGTTGCGTTGAGGTTCATTTACCTTTGAAGTTAAATTATTGTTTTGTTTTTTTTTTGTTTTGTTTTTTTTTGTAAACATTTTAAATGGTAAATATTAGTTTTGTAAAAAACTAAATTTATTTCAAGTACAAAAAATTACTTATAATAAAAATATACACCTGTAAATTTCATAATTTATTAACCCATCAGAGGACGCTAAGGACTGATCAGTTCTTTGTAATTTTACATTTATCTTGGCAATAAGACTATTGAATTTATATTCATTTTCAGCCAGTAAACGAAAAGCTTCCGTTGCTAAATCAATTTTTTTTTTCATTTTAAACTTCACTCTGTAAAAATGTCATTAACCCATTTTAAAGTGTGTTTTTAAAGTTGTAACTTCTGCAGTTTTTCCAATATTTTCCATGGACACGAAAACATAAGATGCCATAGTCGAATCATATTTTCTGGCAGACATGACTTAATAAGAGGATACAATATCGCCGCTAACTTGTCAGCAGTTTTGTCTAAGGTCTCAAGTGAACGAAGTTGACTATCAATCATATCATTCTTCTTCTTCTTCAGATGCAAATCCACTAATGGATGTTAGCGATCACATTTTCCATTAATTCTCTATTTCTTGCAATATGTATCAGAGATTATATGTCGTTAATCCCTGTCCATTGCCTTATGTTTCGGAGCCAGGACATTTTCTTGCGTCCCATTCCTCTCTTGCCTTCAATTTTACCCTCGATTATAAGTTGGAGGAACTGGTATTTTTCATTTCGCATGATGTGACCTAGATACGCCGTTTTCCTTTTCTTGGTTTATTCTTTTAAGGACATCTATATTTGTGATTTTCGCTGTCCATGGTATTTTTAGGATACGGCGATAAAGCCACATTTCGAAAGCTTCCAATCTGTTTATATCCCTCGTTTTGAGTGTCCAGCCCTCTACGCCATATAGCAGCACTGACCATACGTAGCACTTAGTAAACCTTAGTCTCAGTTGAAGATCGAACTCTGAACAAGTCAGTACCTTCTTGAATTTTACAAAAGCTTGTCGAGCTTGCTCAATGCGACATTTTACTTCCCTGTCCGATGCCCAGTCTTCAAAAAGCCACGATCCCAGGTATTTAAATTTACTCACTCTTTCTATGGATTTACTATTCAGTGTTATGGTGGAGTTTTCAAGTGCATCCAAGTTTCTGGAGATGATCATGAATTTGGTCTTTCTGGTATTAATCTCTAATCCCATTCGCTTACTGTATTCTCCGATTATAGTGACAAGTTTTTGAAGATCGACTATGTTGTCACAAATTAAGACACCATCATCAGCATATCGTATGTTGTTGATCAATACTCCATTCACCTTGATTCTCATCTCTGCATCCTCCAAAGACTCTTGAAATATGGCTTCCGAATAAATGTTAAATAAAAGAGGGGAAAGCACACATCCCTGTCGAACGCCTCTTCTTATATGTATGGGCTTGGATATAGAATTGTCTATTTTTGGCTGTGCCGTTTGATGCCAGTACAAGTTTTCAATGCGTCTTATGCCTTTTTGGCCTATATCAACTTTCTTGAGAATCTGCATTAACTTGTGGTGTTGGACACGATCAAACGCTTTTTGGTAATCTTAAAAGCATAGGAACACATCCTTCCTCTGATCGTAACAATTTTGGACCAGCACCTGTGTTGCTACTATTGCTTCTCGTGTTCCTAAACCTTGCCTAAACCCGAACTGGGAATCACTGATGTCCCATTCACATTTTTTGTATAATCTTTGATGTAGTATTTTTAAGAATATCTTTAAAGTGTGACTCATCAGGCTAATGAGTCTGTGATCCTCACATCTTTTTGCATTGACTTTCTTGGGCAGGGGAATAAAGGTAGAGCGTAACCACTGTTGAGGATAGCAGTCAGTTTCATAAATTAAATTAAATATTTTGTGTAGTGCTGAAATTCCCCTTTCATCTAGTAATTTGAGTATTTCTGACGGGATCTCATCTGGTCCAGGTGCCTTATTGTTTTTTGAATTTAATATTGCTTTTTCTATCTCCTCTTTGGTGATTGAAGGGCCAGTCAGCTGGTCGTCTGTATAAACTTCACTCATGGGTCTTTCGTCATGGAAGAGCTCCTGGATATAATTTTCTCCTTTTCACCCAGCACTATCTGGTTATCCTGATTAACTATGGTAGTTGGTCTTCGTTTTCTGTATATTCCAGCAGTCTCCTTAAGCTTTTTATGTAAATTACGGTCGTCGTGCTGTCTTTGTAAATGTTCTAGATCGATACATTGTTTCTTAAGCCATTCATTTTTTGCTATTCTTATTTTTGCTTTTATTTGCCTGTTAATGTTTTCATACATATTGCTGCCATCTTGGTTATTCTTGTGTCTTCGTCGTTCTTCCATTAGTAATAGTATTTCTTCTGTCATCCATTTTTGCCTCTTGTTATTTCGTTTGTACCCTAAGTTATTTTTCATGATGTCTGTTACAGCACTTATTATTACAGCAGTAATCGTATTCCATGTTGGTGTTAGATCTTCGGTAATGTTTGTCGTTAATATTTGAATTTGTGCGTTTATTTCATTGCTTATTTCTGCTTGTATCACTAGGTCTTTCAGTTTATCCAGTGCTATCTGTTGTTGAGTTTCAGGCTTGTTCTTGCATGAAAGAGCGATCTTTATGACGGCCACTAATAGTACGTGGTCAGAAGGGACATCTGTTCCAGGGTATGTGCAAGCTCTTTTGACAGTTGTGCTGAATCTACCGTTTATAAGAATGAAGTCTATCTGGTTTCTTATTATGTTATGAGCTCTATCGGCTAGAGATTTCCAAGTATATGGGTGGAGTTGGAACCATGTGTTGGTAACTCTCATGTTTTCTTCTTGACAAAATTGTATAAGTCGGTCGCCCCTTTTGTTCCTTGTTCCAAGACCATAGGGTCCATCTATGTCTTCAAAGCTGCCCTTCCCTATTTTGGAATTAAAATCTCCCATAATTATGTTGACATCATGTTTCTTTGTCAATTTAAGTAGTTCTTTGATTTCACTATAAAAGTTTACCACTACTTCATCTGATGCGTCTGTAGTTGGTGCATAAACCTGTATGATGTTGAGATTATTTGGCTTCGCTTCAAGTTTTACTAAGGCTGTGCGGTCGGAATATGGTACAAACTCTGTGACAGCTCTCACCAATCTTTTAGTTATCATAATCCCGACACCTTTTCTATGATCGCGGTCATCATTGCCTGAGTAAAAGAATGTTCCGCTTTCTGTAGTGCATTTACCGGAACCAGGCCACCAGGTTTCTGAGATCCCAAGGATATCTAGATCTAATCTGCTCATTTTTCATTTCAAGGCAAAATTTTGCCTTGGTTTTACCTTTATTTACCTTTATAGTCGTACTTGTTAAATCACAATATCGAGTAATAAAAAAAGGGGTCGATGGTCAGAAGTTATATCGGCAGCTGTTATATGGGCAATCAATTGAAAATTTTGGATTATTGATAAGAAGAGAATTATTTGTAAGGTATGCTTTAGGTCAAGCTGATGTGAAAGAGATTTCATGTGCAGAAATTTCTGTGTGGTGTTTTGTCTACAACTTCCTGTTCCTTTCTATTTTAATCAATGTGAATTGAACTACCGATTTGTTTGCTGTCGTTGAGATCGTCAAATTAAGTATCTGTACGGTAATATTTTTCCTTTTATGTACTGTTTTGTGAATTTATTCCAGTTATTAGTTTCGGTTTTATAATTAATTTTTCATAAGTTGATTTTTGTGAGTGTAAGAGAGAATCTTTCTGTGCAATATGAGTGGAAAGCGAAAGAGAGTAATTCCACCTTTGGAAACAAAAGTGAATACAATTAAGAGGTTGGACAAGGGTGAATCAATAAAGAAGGTTTCTTTAGATTTAGATGTCGGAGAAGTAACTGTTGGATATTGGAAGCGTAAGCCGAATGAAATCGAACAGTGGGTAAACCGAAGTGTGAGTGGCGGTAGTGGATTGGTCCAAAAAGCTTTGTTGTTGTTGGACAACGCACGATCCCACCCATATGTGAGGGAATTGATTCGTGGTGACATACAAGCTGTGTTCCTTCCACCCCATGTAACATCTCTCATCCAACCCTAGACCAAAACGTTCGGCGGAAGCTTCTTCAGGTACTATCTATCTATCTATCTAATCAGCCTTAGACGCCCACTCTTGGGCATAGGCCTCCCCTGTTAATCCCCATTGGTCTCTATTTTGGGCGATCTACATCCAGTCCTTTCCTGCCTTTCTCTTAAGACCGTCAGTCCATCTCATCTGTGGTCTTCCTCTTTTTCTTTTCTTTTCCCATGGTCTCCAGTGTAGAATTCGCTTATTCCATCTTTCATCTTTTTGCCGGAGAGTGTGACCGGCGAAGTTCCATTTAAGTTTTGCAACCTGTCTTGATACATCGTTCACCTTTGTTTTTTCTCTGATCCATGAGTTTCTTTTCCTGTCTTTAAGACCGATACCCAGCATCTGTCTTTCCATTGCTCTTTGTTTTGTAATTGGTCTTCTTGGTTTGTCATAGTCTTAGTTTTA